TTCTATCAGTCTGGGAAACAGTAGAATATTTGGAGAATTAGGTATTGGCCATTAAGTACACATTAACCAGTCACTGTCACCACATTCTCAAACTCCCATGTATTAGTGCGAATTTGATATGATGCAAGTAAAACCGTCAGATATTCATAGAGATATTGTTCATGAACTGTAGATGGATGACCTGCAGAACAGTTGCACGTGCCCATTACCGGGAACAACTGACCTCGTATGGGAGTATTCAATATGTGTATTAACATCATGTTGTACCCTATTATTGAAGGAAATTTGTGATTTTGGTGAACAAAAGAACATTCTCATTACACAGTAAGCATTACATATCTGTATTGGCTAACCTCTATCATTTGTGTTTGAGTCAGAATCACTAAATACATGGCAGAGTTGTGCGTGAGGTGAGCCAGAATAACCAATTGGGTACAGTTAAGGTCATTTCAAATGAGTAGACAGTACATGAAGTCATCTTCCGCTGTTGGGATTAACTCCAGTCATGACCATGTCTTGAGAAGCAAAATACTGGCACAAACATCACTGGCCCACAACAAAATATGTGTAACTGCACATATCCAAGTGTAATGTAAAAGAAAGACACAGTTACTGTATTCACTTCTGTGTTTGTGAGAAAAGAGCAGCCCGTCTTGACAAAATGGCAGCCTCACCTCGTACACCACAGCAAGGAGGTCGCTGGTTCAATTCCAGGACTTTTTCCAGGATATATTACAGAATCAGTGTACTAGAGTTACTACTGTAGACCAAAGACAGTCGTTTATGTCTCATAACTCTGACACAACATTGTCATTCCCTCAGAGTGCAGCTCATTTCCATTGCCTTCTGTGTTTGTATATGTGCTACAGGACTGACACTCTCTGAGCCTGCTGCTCCCTGTGACCTTTAACCCCTCTGTGGATAATAAGTCTTGTGGTGTGACGGTTCAGCTGAGGCGTCACTGCTGGCCGCTTGCTGTGGGTGAGGCCTGGGCCTTTTTATCATGCTACAAACTCTGTGATGGATGAAGCCGGATACAAAGTAGTGCAGAGGCTAACAGCACATTGTGAGAGAGCCGCTGGAGCAGTGTAACAAATAACAGCTCTCTCAGGTACACTGCACTGGGCTAATACTGCCCCCAGCATTATGCAGCTCTGGCTGCAGGCGCTATCCTCAGGTCATCACACAGAGCTCACTTATGGGGCTTATTACTGGGCTACTGCTTCTTCTCATAGACACCAGTTGGCACTGTATCTTTAGGGGTCTGAGAAGGGGAAGAGTACAAGTGAATAAATCATGGTTGGAGACAAAATGATACAAAAATAGATGCATTTGAAAATGTGAAAATATACCTTTGTATTATGTACTTTTTCAAAAAAAAAAGAAAAAAAAAAAGGCTTTATCCACACATCTGAAAAGTGTATGTCCTGTAAATTTATTTTTTTGTCATTTAAGTTTTACCATGATCATTATTTTATTATTCCAATTGTTGCTCTTGAAAATGTGTGTCTTCCCTTGGGTCAAAATGAGTGTGAAACTGAAAAATTGCCCAAAAGTCACAGTGGAGTGCCAGGAGTCAGTGGGTCTGGGAGATTTTTGGATGACAGAGTGTTGCTAAAGCAGAGCTTACACACGCTCAGCATCACTGCACAACACGCCAAATGGACTCCAGATCCAAGCGTCTATAATAGATTAAATGGATCAGTAAAGACAGACTTTTCAAACTGCTGTGTTGGGAATATAAATGCCTGTATAGAACATTACACACATTTTACTGAAAATGCATTGCTCTTTTTAAGATCATGAGGAGGTCTAAATGTTTGAGATAGATGCAAATGCTAAGGGACTGTGCACAAAGCAGTGCTGTGTGCATCATTTGACAAAACTAGAGGAAAGTCATGAGTTTTTCTTCATGGCACTTACAGGAGATGTAAATGACAGCAACAGTTTAGCCTTGAAGATAATGTGATAAAACCATGATACTGTAAGCAATAAAATGTTGCAGCTTACTGACTTACCATAACTATGAAGACTGTTATTTACAATGAGTAAATGAGTTGATTATCTAGGTTAAAAAAAAAAAAAACATTTTGAAAAAAATACATTTTATAGTATGTAGAATAATGTTATATGAATAAATTACACTTAGAAACAGGAAATGCATAATAAAATGTCAACCCTCAGTAACTCACAGCAGTACAGCCTCCAGCAGAGACACCTGGGACAGTGGTCCCAGCTCTGAGCTTTAGTTTCTCCCTATGTGACCTGAACCAGCCCACCTGCACTGGGTCACTCAGACTTCAGCCCAGAAAAAGAGAGGGAAAAACATCTTTACACGTCCCTGTAAGATTTATTCACTATTTGGCTAACCTTGCTCTGAACCTTCCCCTGAGATTATGAACCGTTTGGGCCATACTCTCGCAGCATTTGTGCTCTGCATGCCTCCTCAAACTATTTCAAACCCTGAAGTGCTTCTTCTTCTTCTTTTGGTTTTGCAACAGCCCAGAGTATGAAAATCCAGTTCTGTGTTGGATGAGATGGCATTCCTGCCCCACCCAGGACAAGCCGCCTACCAATTATGCTGGCAGGATTATGCCCATTGTCCTATAGCTAGAAAAGCAACCACTCTGGCACCATTAAACGCCACGTACGAGGAGCGTTATGACTTTAAGTTGAAAATTTTATGCACAAAATGAGAGTCACAACACAACATACTTGAGCTGTGTTGGTTATAGTTAAAAGTAGAAGTTGTAGAACCTTTAATTAGTTGCTGAGGTACTAGTTGTAGTGGCCAGAGGCTGCGCTACCATTGGGGAAAGTAGGCGGCTGCCTAGGGTCCCCAAACCTGGAGGAGCCCCCAACCAAGTGCCCTTAGTTCCGCTAATTGTCCAGGCCTCAGAGAAATTTGATTTTTCAATTATGACATTAAATGAGAGTATTTTATTTTTTTAAATAATCATAAAAAAAAATAATAATAAAAAAAAAAATTAAATCATATGTAATGGATGTAAACAAAAATGTAACTGTACTAGCAAAAAAAATAAAACTACTTTCAATTCTGGTTATCTAGAAGACCTAACTAATAAGACAAGTTTCCAATCCACCATAATTCAAATAAATAGAGATGTGCGTGTCTCAAGAACAATGAGGAAAAACAGACAATGAATATATAAAAAAAAAAACAAAAAAAACAACAACAACAACAACAAAAACTGTGCATTGTAGTGAGGGCCCCAAACTCAAGTTTGCCTAACTCCGCCACTGGTAGCAGCAATAGGAGTGGTAGCAGTATCACAACAAACCAAGAAAACGAAATATTATGCTGATCCAGGGTATTAGGTTTTGGTCATGAAAAGGGGAATGCTTGTCAATAACAAAACCTAAGAAATAAAAAAGTATTAAATATTACATAACAGATTCTGCCTTAGTCTTATATGTGTGAGTTGTCCTTATGTAACACAGTGCAGCTCATATAGTGGAGGTTTAGCTTTATTATTAACCTCGCAGTCAGGAAGCAACACGTGGTATAGATTCTGTGTTTTACATGAACACTGCCCTTCACACTGGAGGAAAAATAGTAATTATCCCACATTATCTCATCGCAAATATGCAAATCAAAACAGGCCTTTAGCATAAAGCAATGCTGTGTGTGTGTGTGTGTGTGTGTGTGTGTGTGTGTGTGTGTGTGTGTGTGTGTGGGTGGGTGGTGTGTGTGTGTGTTATATAAAAGGTCTATATTAGCTATGTGGGTGTTAAATGTTATTAGCTTTGGAGTGTTGGGACTGTTAGTACAGATGGGAAACATTTTATTGCTTAACATTTTGAATTATTTGGTTGTTGACATTTAAAATCTCCAATTAATTAGTTTCCAAACATGTTTAATAGCACTCATGGTGCATCATAAAGAGATTTCCTACGCAGCAGAAGAAGCAGTGGAGTAGAAGTAAATTTAATGTTGTGTATGACTGCAAACCCATTCTGTGGTCAGCTTTCCACCTCAACTCATTAAACTTTAAGGAGTCCTAATCTATTTCCTGATAATCAAACCAAACAAACAAAAGAAGGAGGTACAATGATCCATGTCAGGTGTGAAAACTTAAAGAGCTGTGTGTGTACTGTGATTAGAAAGATGTCTGTGCAATCCCTCCATCGTCCAGGTAGAATCGATAGCAAAAGAAAAATTCACTTCTGTCAACTGGACAAATAAAACAGCTATACTCCAGAAATGTAATTAATCTGTGTGCGTTTGGTGTTGTTTGAGGATTGGGCAGTGTCACTTCTTCAGGATGACCTTCAGAGTACTCGGTATAAAACACAGGTAAAAACATCACCTCTGTGTCCCGTGTGATGTTGTACTGTCCAAACTCAGCTGTGGCACTGAACTCCTGACCTCCCACTGTTTGTAAAAGTCATGGAGTCAGACTGCAGAGATAAAGCTGTAGCTTTAAGTTGCTGTCTGGCATGTTTCTGAAATGATGCCAGTTCTTGTCTGAATGATCTGCATGATTCTCAATTTCTCTGGGTTTGGGGCTAGCACAAAAAGTTATCTGGTTGGGGACACAAATGCTATTTCTTGCAACACAGTTTGTATTATTATTGATCAACAAAATTAAAGTTATTGTTACTTTTCCACACTTGTGTGCATCCCCTGCATAGCTGGCAAAGGCCTTATGTTTTGACAGTGTAGCCTGTCTCAGTCACTGCTCTCATATTCAACATCAATCATCAGACATTATCACACTGTCACTGGAGACACAGGGACCAGGCAACAATGGCTGCCTCCCAAGTGTTCACTTTCTACCATTTGCATCACAAGCGCTAAATGATGCATCTGTTCTAGTGATAGTCCAGCCTCTTTCTAGTTGTTTAGAACCACCACATAATATTTTATAAAGTCTCAAAAGATGGCAGACCATGTTTTGTTATTCATTTCTGTATTACATTACTGTTTTATAAAGAAATCTCACAAATAAAACATTGTCCAAAAATAACTGCAAGAATTCTCTCATTATATGAGTAAAACATTTTATTATCTTACTCCCATTAAAACACATTTAAAAGACAAATACAAAAATAGGTTTAAAAACAGACTAAACGAAGTGTCAAACCTACATCTACTGAAATCTTACTCCAAGAGCAGGACCAGCTTAGTACTCTGTCTGTACACACATATGGGGTCACGCACAGACGAGATAGATGCACACAGTCTCACAATGGCCGAAACAGAGGCTCCTCTTCCTCTCTGTCCTCACTTGGGACATATATGGCCTAGCTGGCAAAAGTGTATTTACTCTGCCTGGGAGCTCAAGCCATCATTTTGTGAAAAGGTCCATGTCCTTTTATAAAAACTACATCTTTAGAAGTCTTTTCTCTTATATGAAATCAAGGCTCATGTCCGCCCTTTGAATGTGTTCATGCAGGTGTAGCTCCCGGTAAACTTGTGGATTTCTTCAAGTGCTATTTGTGGCATGAAACTGGAAAATAAAACAAAGAAAAAGATAAAATGAAAAACATGAAATAATAATTAAATCAAATTATATTGTTAAACCAATTATTAACATTTCCTTATTTGAATCATTTATTTTCTACCTTTTAAGAGCAACCAGGGCATGCATTGTCCAGGGCAGGTAGAGGAAGGCCTTGTCTGCTCTGACTGCATCCACGGTCTTCTGAGCCACTACTTCAGGTTTTAGAGGTGGAAACAGCTGAGGAAACCTGTAAGGAAGAGGGGATATTTTAACTTTGATTACTAAAAAAACATCAGAATAAAAATGTTATTTTCAAATTAAGTTTGCAAAATGATTGCTAAAATGCTGCTGGTGCATATGCCATGTGAAATACCACAGAGACCAGGAAGTGACAGTATAACATTAAGTTGGCTGATCTAAAATTAATTATAAACACACCATTTTGCAAATTGCCCAGTAGCTCCTATATGTGGTTTCTTATGCAGAACCTTTTACATTATATGTCTTGTGCCATTTACTAATCCTCAACCTTAAATCATGAACAAAGACCTTTTACAAAATTAACAAATAGTTTATTAAAAATGAACCAAACTTGGTAACTAAATGAAGGGCTGGGAGTTAGGGTATTAAAGAAGCAGCTGCAAAACCTGAATTATTAAAAAACTGCTCACCAATTCTTTGTAAAAATAAAGCATCAGCTTTATTAAGGCTAACATAAAGTGTGACCCTTATGTCGTTCTCACCTGACTCTCATTCCCTGGAACATCTCAGTGTTGGTGTGGAATGGGAGCACTGTGGTGCAGCCAACCCCAGGACAGTCCAGCAGACCTAGAGTCAGGCTCTCCATGAAGGCCAGGGAGGAGGCCTTGGACGTACAATAGTCTATGGCCCCAGGGATCGGAGACTGGGACAGGATGGAGTTTATGCACACCACATGACCGTGCTGCAGCTCCAACATCCGAGGTAGAAAGGCTTTTGTGGTCTGTAATGTAGAGACATGAAAGGTGAATAAGGGGGAACAAAGGAGAGACAATATCCAGTGTGATTTCCATTTCCTTTAGGTGATAATTGTATGTCTATCTGGGTTTGACAGTCTTTTTATCTTCCTTCAAAGTAAAAATGGCCTTGTATGTTCTGATATTTCAAAAGGCAGAGCACTTTTGGAAATTCCCCTGAAAAATGTGCTATAATGGAATTCATCTAACAGCTAAAACTGTGTGGGACTGGGCTCATAGTATAAACTCCCCCAGTGGATATATGTTAAGAGCAATGAGTTTCAACTCTCCCTGATTCTGCACCTCTAATAGAAGATCATAGGGATGGAATATATGATATCATTCATAATCATGTCATGATGTATTCCAAAATGTTAAAGAAAAAGTAATCTTACCCAAAACTGTCCCAAAGTGTTGATGTGTTGAGATTTCAGAAGTGCATCGTCATCACAGTCCATCAGACTTTTACCATGGACCACTGCGGCATTGTTCACCAGTATTGTAACATCTCCAACCTATTGTACACAAAGAAACAAAAAAAAACAACAAAAAAAATCAATACACTGCTATAGGGATCATGGTTTTCCCATCTTGCCTTCATTCAAGGACAGCAAGAATTCCTATAGTTCAAAAGTATAATATTTCTACCAGATGGGAGACTGCTCAGCTCAGCCAATATACATCAGACAAAAAGGCAACATGGGGACATATTTTATGATGTGCTCTCTGAAACATTGACATTTTCATTTTTCATCCAACACAAAAATATGCGGTGTGTGTTGAAATATACCTTTTCTCTGACCACTTTGGCTTGATTGTACACCTCCTCCCGATTGGCCACATCACAAATGAAGTAGTGGCACTCTGTTCCCATCAGGGAGATTTCCTCTGCTGTTTCTTTCAGGCACTTCTCAGTTCTACCCCACAGGATTACCTATAAGAAGAAAAAAATAACTTTATTTATAAAAAAAACTACTCTTGGTTAATTTTGAAGTAACAAAAAACATAATAAATAATTTAACATTGTAAAAAGTGTGTCTGGATCAGAATGTATATATATATCTTATATTCGTGTGTGTGTATTCATATACCAATTTAGCCACCTAACCACCCCAGAAACCATATTTACTTTGTTGCTTTAACAATAGCCATACTGCATATAAATTTTTTTTCTAAAATTATGAAGCCCCGGTTTTAATATTGTTCTTTTCTCATCTACATCAAAAAGACTGTTTGTAATCTATTTCCGAGAACAGAGAGTGCTTCGGAAACCCATCAGCAAATAGTTTTTTGAACAAGATTAAAGGATTTGGGGGGTCGCTGCGTGAATGAATTGTCTCTTGATCCAGCCAGAGCCTACATGAAGCCCTGTCATTTGAGCAGGGAACACGAGGGTGCATAGAGGTGGGGGACTAGCGATTGGGCAATTAGATCTGTCAGTCTTCGGGGTCAGCGAAAGGTAATGAAATCAGGGGGTGAGCGAGCCCTCCTCATCGCTCCAACACAAATTCTCCTGCAGATTACACGGCCTGTTGGGCAGATGAGCCCCGCCGTCTGTGATGAAAAGACAGTGTGTGCGAAGAGCAGAGGAGACGCCAGTATGGGATTTGGCCCCAAGCCCATGACCAAGGTTAATATTTGAGCCAAAGTCTGAGGAAAGTGATCTCGTGTATGTGACAGTCAGACACGGGCTGTGAGCATGTGCTGTCCACACAAAGCAGAGAGGCCTGTGTTACCCGGTGGAGTGGCATGTCAGTTCAGTATGGTCGTATCTGAACTTGACAACAGCTACAAACACATGGATCGGTCTTTAGTATATGTACCCAGAAAACAGCTTGATTCAGGTGACTATAAATATCTATGCTACCGGGGTTTATGCAAAGAATTTTACTGCAAATTAGGGCTTTGTATCATTAAGAAGTTGCCGATACGATACATACCTCGATACACAGGCCACGATACATATCTCGATACAGTGCACTTTCGATTCGATATGATATATTTCAAATCGATTCAATGCAGTTCAATAAAAAATAAAGGCTAAATCATGGCTGTGACACTAAAAGTCTTTGTTAAATCACTTCTTGTGCAAAGTTCATATGAAAACATATGAAACATTTTAATCATCAAAACGGTCAAAATATCAAATGTGTTGAACAAATGAGCTTCCTTTCACTCCACAAGCAACAAAACTGTAGCTCTGTAACACAATAATTTAGTAAAACACACCTAAAAATACTCTTGGTGATATATCGATACAGTAGCCCACGATATCGATACTGTATCATCACATTAAATGATACGATATATCGATATTCCGATATTTTTGCACACCCCTACTGCAAATGCATAAGTAGGAGTTACTACACCCAACGTGTCACTCATTATTATACCAACTGTTGCTTCCATTAAACTTGTTTTCTCCATTTAGTCCAATACTGCAGGTAAGAACCATCTACTCTAGTTTGGAAGCGTGGTCATTTTACATGCATTAGACGCATGCTTTTTGCAGTGTTATAAATACACTCAACTAAAGTGTGTGAACTATAAAAGCTTAGGCTTGATGGAAAGTGTTGCCTATCATGCAGAACCTGGGGCTTGGGGCTGCTCTCCCTCTGTGAAAGCCTCTTGTTTGATTTGCGTTTGATTGGCTTTTCTGTTTGCCTCATTTGCAAAGCCATTTGAGTAATCAGCCAGGGGGGAGACAGCTCCTGATAAATAACTCAAAGCTTTAATGGGATTTGAGCCTTACAAACAAAGCTGACAGCCCTCATTTTAAAAGGGAGTCCTCAAACTGTGCACTCCTGCTAATGTTATTTAATTCATTAAGGCACAACACACCAGCTCCTCAGAATAAACAAGCACTGGCCAAATTGTAATCTAAATAAGGAGAGTGAGAAAACACTTTTGATTGACTGCTGTGGTCTATGCTTGTGGTCTATGTTTGTTATGAGAGATAAAGCAGATACCATAATGTCAATATCTGTAGTAGTGGGAACAGTGGCAGCAACTGTGGTTATGCCATTCTGCTTGTGATATTAAACTCAATACTAGACAGTAACATCTCAATAGGTGCAGGCAGGCGACAGTTTTTAGTGATACTATTTTCATTTGAAATATTTAAAAGAAAAAAATGCCTTTGTAAAGACATAATTGAAATTCCTTGACTTGTACCTTCACAATAAACTGCTGCATATTATTACAATAGTCATTTGGGATTGTTTACAAAATGCACACTCAAACTTCATCGAGGCCATCTCCTTTACATCGATACGATAAGCTGATAATAAGTGGTTCTTAGATGCCACCTTATACCCAGGCAGCATGTACCTGTACAATCCCAATAACTGAGCTCCTGCGATACTCTATCTGTCCCTCTGAATGTATGGGTGGGTATAGGCCCTCCTTTTCACACCCATTGTATGAGAGCAGACACACACACATACACACACACACACACACACACACACACACATTGGGGGCAGCAGGAGTTCAGGAGGCAGTCGCCTGCTGCTGTCTAATTACTGCGGAGACAGCAAGGTCAGCTGCAGGGCAAGACCCAGCTGGGAACGGTGTGCTTCCCGCCTCCACCACAACACATCCACATGGACACAATGAGTTCATCACTATGAGGATTTTCACTATTAACCTAATCAGACTTTTCAACCAGCCAAGGTGAAAGTTGGTTAAATACAATACAATTTTTGCAAATGTTTAATCCTGGAATGAAGAATATGATGTTAATACTACTTGTTGGTTACCAGAATTACTTGGAGAAAACAGATTTTCCTGGGAGTCTTTCTCCATGGCATTTTCTTTTTATGATTGAAAGTATAAGTGAATTATTTGGGAATATATCTAATTGTAATTTGCAATTTATGATTTGAACTTTTAATACGATTCGGTTCAAGTTCACATTTTACAGTTTTGACATACTTCTCTATTAAAAATTGACATTTGCAATACAGCTCACAGAATCTCAAACAGGATTAAAGTTTTCCAAGGCAACATTTTAGCTCAGCAAAAATAATGAGCTTACCATCAAAACTGAAACTTTAGCAGCTCAGAAGTCTTAGTCCTGCTCTCAGGGACCACAGAATCACTGGTTTATGCAGTCTGCCATTGAGGTTCACACTTTTATGTGACTAGAGATGTCCCATGCAAGTTTGTTAAAAAGATTTTTGCTGTCTAAAACTAGTTAAAATACAGCATTCAAACATTTTTGGGAGGAAAACATGCACATGGATTTATGGATTTATAGACTGGATCAAAAGTATTTATGCTAGAGAAAATTGAGAGATCTCAGAATATCAAATACATCAACAGTTTTTTCACTACATAATGTATGTTGTTGAAAGTTGTAGAAGTTTCAAAAAAATGTGCTTAAAAAAGCCATCCAGAAAAAAAAATATAAAAAGACTGAAATATGAACTGACAAACAACTAATGTGAGATGGGATATTTTGTTATTTTTGGTGGATTTTAGTACTTCAAAAATTGCAGTCTTTGTTAGTGATTGCTAATTTTGTCCAGCCCTAATGGAAAGCCAATCGTCAGACTCCGAGTATGCAATTATTGTATTAACTAGAGCTGTTCCTGAAAAATTTTCCCCCAAAGAAACACATTTGGGACTTGGGAATGTGACAAAGAGTGCACAAGCTTGTGACCCAGTGAGGCTGGATTTTAGTGATTCGGTTTATTGTCCTGTGACTATTCCACTCTCAAAGGAACCTGGATCCTCTGGCTGTGGCATTCTTTCCTCAGACCTGTCATCCCTCTCACACCGTAAAATCTCTAAAGCTCCAGAGCAGAAAGGAAAGAGGAAACACCAGCTGCCAATCACAAAGAGGCTCGAACCGGGGTTAGCACAAGTTCATAGAGGTTAGCCACTATTCATAATAACCGTCCTATTTCCTTCCTATAGCATGTCTTCAGGCGGGGAGTAATTGTCATACACATTATCGCAGGTGTTGTTTTCAAAGCTTTCACACCTTGATAATGCTCAACAATGGAGGTGCTGAAAAGCGTGGTGACATCCTTTGTTGTGCAGCTGCAAACTAGAGCTTTTAAAAGCCACTGGTTTCTCCTTGCCCCATTCCCTCGAGGAGAGAAGTGAAAAGAACCAAGAACCAGTTAGTGTTTCATTCAGCTCATAGCCATTTTTTCAAGCTGCTGAAATTGTGTCTTAAAGTGAACATGTGAAAAGTCCCATTTCATGCATGCAAGTGGAACTGGCTTGTTCCATGACATGGGAACAAAATGCCTTTAAGCATTTTCTTGCATGGGTAATGAATTGGATCATGCATACAGTAGAGGCACCTCTAAAAGCATGCAGTTTCATCTCAAACAGTAAGCAGGATTGTCCTACCACTGTATTCCCACAGAGAAAAAAGATAGCAGGAAACAGGTGACCCACAGCAAGCATCAATGTAATGTAACCACTTGAGCTTTGAAAAAACATCCAAGAGACAAGTCCTTGTTAGTGAGTGAGGGATGACAGAGGGACGGTGGGGGGGTTAGGTGCACTGTTTACACTGGAGGGGTGCATGTGCTGGGTAGGCCCCTCTGAATCAACAAGCTTACATTTATTAAATGACATAATTTCAATGCTTGAGCTTGGACATGCCCAAAGTGCTCAAGTGAAAAGTTTATTTTACACATTCTTGTTGGTTAATGGCTTTTCCTTTCAGAGGTCACAACACCAACTAAGGCTGTAGTTAACTTAAGACATCCACTGTGCATGGATTCATCAAGAAACAGTTGCACCAAAGAAACTCTGAAAAAGATTCTGCATTTCTAGGAACAGACCATTCATCTGACCCAACAGCAACAGTTTATACAGAAAGCTTCTAGTAAATTCTACATTTTCATATATAATACAGCATATAATAAGTAGGGGTGTAATGATATTCAAGTCTCACCATACGATATCGTCAAGGTATGAACCTCACGATACGATATTTATTGTGATATCATGGGAGAGGTCGCGACATGGTGGGGAGGCTCAATAAGGATGTAAGAATATCCAAATCTCTCGGTACGATATTTTCACGGGATGATATTTATTGTGATATTTTGTGGAGGCTAACAAAACTGTTACTATGATACCTTTTCCTTTTAAAATACCTTGACAAGACTTAATTCAAAGAACTAAAACTTAAAAGTGCTTAGAACTATTATTTCTTCATGTAGTCTGCACTAAGATGGAGCAAAGAATCATGGTCTACGTAGTTCTCTCTGTCTTGTCCATAACTCTTAATTTAAGCAAAGAGACTTGTAATTGAATATATTGTGAGGGCCCACAATATTATTGTGAGAACTTTGACGATACAATATCATGATATTTTGGTTATTGTTACATCCTTAATAATAAGCCAAGCCTTTTCTGCTCTATTCCATATATATTCTTATAATCATGAAACAATTAGTCTAAAGAAATGACCAATCGACCCCCGTAGAGCAACTACAGTGCTTCAGACATGTATCAGTACATTCAACAATGAATGGAACACATTAAACACAGCCATTTGTTTTACAATGAAACCCCCTCTCCATTTATTTAAGCTGAAGACTGGCACAAAGTGTATGTAACACAGATGCATGGCCCTCTTCACCTGACTGTAACAATTATACAAACTGTCATGGTGGTTAATATCAGACAAATATGTTATATGTTATGAGTTATAGATGACTGGAATAGGTAAATACTTCACACTCCAACTATTTAATAAACTAAAAAATGCACACTCATCTTCCAAGCCTTTGTTTTTGCACACTCCATAAATCCTCACATGCCCGCTTCAAAATGAGGCCTAATCTGGCTTTTATTAAAAGCATTACAGTCTTTTGTTGTTATGTTGCGATGTCTTGGCACCACTTAAAACTCCTCAAAAATGTTGCCTGAAATCCCAATAAAGTAGCAGCAGGTTGTGCAAGACATATCCCACCACTCTTCCAACAACATTTGCCCCTTCATCCCACGCCAGAGCTAACCATAACAACAGGTTAGCCATGCCAATCATCGTAGAATGAGCATGAACCAGTGCACAATGTCAGGGGAGAACTGCCCTTATAATCACATCAATCAGCTCCAAAGGCTGTGCAGGCTGCCCTCTTCTTGACCTGCTGTTGTGCAATGCTCCCAGCTCAAATTGAGGCCAGAGCCCACAGTCCCACTGGAGCAACTAAAGGCTACTTGGAGGTCATGATCTTTTGCTTTCATACAAGCCCTGTGACAATACACTTGGGGCATATAGAGGTAAAGTAGTGACTGCAAAGGTTGTACCTGGAGAAACAAGGAAAGGGGGAGGGGCAGACAAAAACTGCAGGTCTAAGTGCTTACATGTCCCACTGAATGTAGTCAGACTTGTCTCTTAACACTGTGTCAATAATTAGAAGTTGGGGTAGTGAGGTCTAACTTCTAGGCTTATTTATCACAGGCAAAAAGCACAAAGTTCATCCACATTTTTCACAAGTCATTATATCATATTTATGTTAAAGACATGATTACATCATTTTCTTGTTGTATCACAGTTGCACTTAGAACTGACAGATATGACAAGACATGCCTTTCCACAATTTGCCCAGTGGAATTATAAATGAATTCAAATAATATGCATTGTATATATAATGAAAGTTTGAAATCAGATGAATCTTGGCCAGACTAAATAATCCAGAATGATAAATATAAAAGTCTGTGTTATTACATTAAACTGAGGAAAAGCATGGCACAATTTTTCACTATCTGAAGACAATCCAGAAAGGTTAACTCTAAATGTCACACAATGTACTGGACACTATAAAGGCTACTGTTCATGTCAATACTTCATAAACAGTGTCAAAGTAGCCAAGCTTTACCTTTGACCCCTGCTATAACTCTGTTAGATAAAGTGGCTATAGAGAGAATAACAGCAAGCTTCCATTCTGGTTTGCAAAGTCGTGCTTTTTGCATTACATTAGGCTACTGTGAATGTAATTTGAACACTAACCTTTTTAGCGCCCTGCTTGGCGAACTCTTTGGCCAGGTGACGGCCGATGCCTCGTCCTCCTCCGGTGATCAGCACTACCTCCGCGCTCAGGTCCTTCCTTCTGCGGGACAACAGCGGGGACACGCTGGCTCTCAAGACGTGGTAGAGGATTTGGACCGGGAAGAGCAACATGCGGCACACACTTATCAAATCCATGTCGCCAAATGTCTTAATTGCGCAGAAGATGATTAATCTTTAAACAAGCGGAACAGTCACGCATGAATCAGAAACGCTGTTTTTGTAATCCAAACGAGAGAAAGTCTCGTCAGTCACATCTGCAAATAAGTGAGATCAGTCATTACGCATGTCAACCAATGGCAGAGGTATAAATGGTACAAGTCCAGTCTAAGCTCCGGAGTGCTGCTGTGCGCTCCTCAAACCGCTGCGCTTTGCTTTGCTTGTGTTGTGATCCTCTCCTGGCTTTTATACGCGGGCGCAGTGGCCGTGCTCGACAACTTCCACCTCTGAAAGCCCTGACGCGCCCTGGAGACAGCTTTGTAAGGGCAATAATCCTGATTGACATGTTGAGTGGGGATGAATATTTGCTTTTTTATTGCCCCGGTGCCCCGTGTCTGCCCACACTGGCTGCGTACTCGCGCCTTCCCCGCCCCCTTTCAGGCGTCTCCACAGAGTTCAAGCTGTGGCTCAGGCCCCCCAGTGGTCAAAACTCTGGATCTGCGCTGTTGGAGTTTAATGTTGTTTAGAAAAGTTTTAATGTGATTAGGCTGATGAGATATATGCCAGTGGTAGTTCATTATGATTCAAACAAACAAGATGGCTTATCTGAAAATTAATGGTCACTTAATTATAATTGGATGTTTTGTGAATCGAGGCAGGAGGAGGCATTCAAATATGCAAATTTAAACGTTCACTGGGGAAACTCTTACGTTAAAAGATTTTGATTAAAAGGGATGTACTAGTCAGCTAAACTAGTCAGCAAAAGTACTGTTGTGAATCTGAATAGGCCTAAAACAACTTGAATACAATAAACTAAAATAATCCTATACTCCAAGCAAAATACATGACAAAAAGAGACAACAAAAGTATTCACAGAAGTTTTCATTAAGATTTACAAATCTTCATGTCAAGTCAATTTTCGAAAGGAAACCAAACTTGAGCTATCACTGCCATCTACAGATCAACTGTGAAAGTTCAGACACTTCAGTCAGCTCAGTCTGTTCTTATCTGAACAAACCAACAAAAACATTAAAACCTTGATCCGTTTTTTCACACTCAACAACCCCAACACGAGACTGCAAGGTTTCAAAACCAAAACTGTTTTCAAATTATACAAGTAATTTTCTGTCTGTCTGTTTGTTTTTGTTTTTTTTGTTTTTTTGTTTTTGTTTTTTTTACCAAAATATGGCATTCAAGGATACTGCTATTTTTATTCTTCTCAACAATTTCAAAAACTGTGTAAACAAATAGAGATATCAATCATTTAATCACAATCACAGACAGACAGACAAAAAAAAAAAAAAAAAAAAACAAACACAAATTTGAGACAAGTTAAAGGTGTGGCCACAGCCTGTTTGTGTCAGAGGAGATGTTAATTCTTTTTAAATGGTTAAATTGTCCAGAGTATGGCATTATTCTAATATGTCTTGCATTTATTTAACTACAGGTGTTTAAGTGCTGAAAAATGAATAAAATATATCTTTAAAAAAACATGCATTCTTACTGTGAGTGGGGTCACCTCTTCACAAATCTAACCTGTCATTTAGCTTGCAAGCCTCCATAGAGATGCATAAGTTTATGACCATACTGTGGAACATTCTAACCACATCTCCATGGAGACAAGCAGGTGATGGACCCTCTACCAGACATGTTACCTCTTAAGTGCACCTTTAAGTATATATATATGTATGTATAAGTATATTTTCTTCTTTTATAGGCCCACACCCAAAAAACTAGACCAAAGTTTTCCCCCCACATCCCTCTTTATCAAAACGTGTGTATTTATGCTTGCATATCTAATACCCTCTAGCCCCAAACTATACACCATGTCATTAAGTGAAGTGAAGGTGACCCTGTGGTGTTGTTAAAGTGGGTGGGGTGTGCACAGAGCTGGGAGCAGGTACATCACACATTTAGACCTAATTGCTCCTTTAGCTGAACAGCCATGGACATCGGCTTTGCTATTTTAATAATTGGCTGTGCGGCTCTCGTGGCTGCCTTCCTCCTCCTGGTAATTGGCCTGGTGTACGCGGAGCTGATGAATTCTCACATTCCTCCTGGGGTTGAGAACACAGGCAAACTGCACGCGGTTCACAGCCTATTTGTGGGTATAGCAATTGTGGTAAGTTGTCCGACATCTGTACAATTCTATGCTTTTAATCATTATGTTGTGTATTATTTTGTGTATACGTTTTAAGCAAGTTGTTTGAAAGTACAAAACTGCAGTTGGGTCAACAAATAGCTTCCTTAGCCCCGCATGCCCAGAGAATTGTTAGATTATCTTCTGCAGGTGAAAAATTTGACTCTATAATACAATTTTTTTGTAGTTCATTTTATTCACTCTTTTAATTTATGTTCCCAAACTTTTTTAAAGGTCCCATATTATGCTTTTCTGATCTGTTATAATGTCCTTTCATCATCACAAACATACCTGGAGTTGTGTTTTGTTTCAATCATACATGTTTAACACACAAACCCTGTATATCTAAGTTCTCTTTTCCACCTTGTGATGTCATGTGGTAATACAGGAACTCCCCATACACCTTCACTAGAGTCATTTGGATATTTTAGCCCTAGAATTGCCAATCTCCACAAAAAAGACCAAAGGTAACTTAACTTGCAAACTTGAGCTTTGAAGAAATAGAGACACTAATAATAAAGGGTTACTCAAATATGAGTGAATGAAACAAAACAAAACTCTAAGTATGTTTTTGACAAGGATTATTAACAGAATTATGTCTTAAAGCTCACAAGAGTCATTTTTTGTAATATAAGACCTTTAATACATAGCTGTTTTATTTGCCCTTCGTAGCTGCTGATAATATTGAGATCAGAGGCGTTTTAGATAAGAAACCAGGTCTCACCAAAGCAAGGTCACCTGTTTGAAGTTGTCATGGTAAATACACTTTCTAAGGAAAACGTATAACCTTCGTTTTGACTTTACACAGTATACCACATTCTCGTCCTGCAGATTATGCATTCTATAAGTGTATATATGCTCAGGGCTATGTGTCAAATCATTCTTTAGTGAGCTCGCGTGCAGACATTTGAAGCCCTTGATGCACTTGTTCCTATATTTTCATGTATTATTTTCTATAGACTTGGCCAAAGGGGAATTTCTCACAGCATATCATAGTTCAGCTCCGTGGTTGAATGTCAGATACAGGTTTATGAGAGAGCCTTAAGCCGTGGTATTGTCAACAGAAACAAATTTACATCATAACAAAGGAATACATTTAGAGTGAAAGCCATGTATTTCACAGATGTGTTTAACGTCTTTATTTTATTTAAAGACCACTAAGTATAGGGCCTGCCACCCGCTTTTTTCTTCTTTCTTTCTCTTGGAATGTTCTACAGTATGGTATTAAACTGCATTTACTGTAGGCAGTGCTGGGAAGTAACTGAATACATGTAGAGAGAATACACATTTTGCACCTGAATACAGTTACTCTTTCATATGGTGCTATTTAGAATACATTACCTAAAATCAAATGAATATATTTTTCCTTCTCCAGCCAGTGATAAGGTGAACAGTGAAACAAACACAGCAGTTTTTAATGCTATGTTGCGTTTTTACTCTCTAGTGTTACAGTACTCTGACTGGACCATGTATCAGAACACACTGCAAAATACATTTTAATGCAGGTATTCAGTAGCTACCTAGTGCCTCCACTCACTTTCATTTCTCTCCAGCGACTAGGTCAAGAATTAAAATACACTAGACCGGCTATTCAGCGAAGAGCCGTGAAGCCATAACGTCAAACTCAAGTGCCTGTCTGGGTCTCTTTTATGGTACAGCACAACAGTAAACAAAGCGATTGAGATGGATATAGACAAAGCCATACATTCTGTGTTGGCAACAATTCCCGAAATCGAGGCTTTAAAGCTGGAACAAAGAGAATGTTTGGTGAATTTTATCAAAGGGAAAGACATTCTTCTTCCTATGGGATTTGGCGCATTACATCACCACCAAATAGCAAATAAAAAGTACCTGCCTACCATCAAGTGAACGAATCCTAATGCTGCGAGGTTAGACAGTTTCCACAAAGTGAAACCGGCTGATGAATCATAGGTATTCAGTATACTGTAACGAAATACATTTTCAAAGTATTCTTTCCATTACAGATTACAAGTGTATTTATTGCTTAAAAATACAATGAAAAACATGATTTTTTACTTGAGCAGGGTCTCCACAGATATGACCTGTAATTGTGGCATCACTGGTTTGTCTCCATGGAAATAGATTTAGAGGTATAATGCCAACTCTTGGAAGATTTCAGGCAAAGCATTAACATTTCCAAGCAGGTAGCGGGCCCTGCTCCAGAAAAGTAACACTCTAAAATATTAGATGACAAGATTTTATTTTCAGCAATCCCCTTTTCTTATTATTCCTCCTCCCAGGGTCGCATCTTGCACCGCCTGAGTATCTGTCATCAGGTCACCTTCATCCGCTGGTTTGTCTCATGTTTTCTGACCCACACAAATCCGCCTCCCCCCGGTTTGAGGATAAAGGACCTCATTTTCTCTGCAGTTCCTGTTCGAATCTACGAACCCACCGCAGCCTGTGATGGTTTAAGAAGAGGGCTGGTATATTTCCATGGTGGAGGATGGGTCTTGGGTAATATAGGTGAGCAAATCCAATACAGAATATTATAATATCCTTGGTGTACTGTGCACTCTGGCAAAGTAATTAGTGATCCTGCCATTTTGAGGGCACTGGTGCATGAAGTGGAGTCTGCATGTTTCCCCATTGTCCCAAGAAATCAAAAATTGTTCAAGCAGAATATGAACGTTCATTATAGAAAAGTCAAAAAGTCAGTGATTGCTTGCTTTTCTCTTCTCCCCAGATTCTGTTGATGAAGTCTGCCGCTACATTGCTCTGAAATCCAGCACAACTGTAGTTTCGGTCGGGTATGTAATTTCCATTACACATGAATGAATGAAAATCACAGCACCGTATGCTTGCTAATCCACTTTAATGTACCATATTGAGCATGTTTGCCCACTCACCTCCTCCCAGGTACCGATTAGCCCCTGAGCACAAGTACCCCTCTCAGCTGGACGACTGTGAGGCTGCCACCCGCCACTTCCTGTCTGTGGCCATGGAAGACTTTGGCGTAGACCCTGGCAGAGTGGCAGTTGGGGGGGACAGCACTGGGGCGAACCTGGCTGCCGCACTGTGCCAGCGCTTGGCAAAACAAGACAATGGACATGTGGTGCTCCCGTGTGCCCAAGTCTTGGTCTACCCAGTGTTGCAGATGGCAGATTTCAACTTGCCCTCGTACCAGCAAAATCACGCTGTGCCCATATTGTACCGTGCCCGGATGCCGTTCTACTTCCTGCAATATCTCAATGGAGACCCTTCATTGGGCCAGGATTTGCTGGATGGGTACCATGTCCCCAATGAACTTAAACCACGCTACACGACCTGGCTGTCTCCTAGCAACTTACCACAACAGTGCTTATCCAGGGGCTATGTCGAGCCCCCAAAGGCAGAGTATGATGGAGGGCTGTACCACGAAATCAAAGATGGTCTGGAACATGAGGTCTCACCACTATTGGCTGAAGATGATGTCATTGAGAAAGCCCCGTCCACATTCATCCTCACCTGTGAATATGATGTAGTGAGGGATGATGGGATACTTTTCAGGAAGCGGCTGCTGGACTTGAACAAAGACGTGACCTGGAAGCACATGGATAATGGTTTTCATGGAATAATTAACTTTTACAATCAGGGCTGGCTGAGCTTTCCAGCGGCCACACGTGTTCTAGATCACATTGTGGATTTTTTAATAACTTTGTAATTAATTATAGTCAAGGGCTGTTCCCTCAATTTATTACACTCACATTATTACAATAAAAGAAATCAGTCCACAATAAACCAAACGATTGTCATCCTGTTATTGGCAACCTGGCATTTCAAGATGAACAGATACTTTTTTTTTCCATTAATATTAAAGGGCATTATTATATTGCTTTCTGATCTATGTTATAATGTTGTTTCCTCATCACCAACTTAGCTGGAGTTGTGTTTTGTTTTGTTGACACATGTTTAACACACAAATCCAGCATATTTAGTCAGTTCATCTCTCAAACTGAAAACACTCTCTTCCAACTTGTGACGTCGATGTGGTGAAACCAGAAGTGCTCTAATGTGTTTTTAAACTCCATACACCTTCACTAGAATCATTTGGTTGATTTGAGTCATGGAATTGCCAATCTCTGCTGAACTAAAGGTAAAAAGTAGCTGTTAACTTCATGCTTCATGACATCACAAGGTGGAACAGAGCATTTTGAGCTTCAGAGCTGTAGACAAGCTAATAATGCAGGATTACTCAAAGATGTCTGAAGGAAACAAAACACAACTCCAGGTATGTTTTTCAGAGAGTAGCAGCATTCTAACATGGCTTAAAGCTCACAAGATTCAATGTTGTGTAATATAGGACCTTTAAGTAGTTTATACAGAAAGAAAACATTTGTTTTAGATATCGTAGATATACTAGATTTATTATTATTGGTGTAATGAGCTATAAACCAATTTTTGCCTTACTTTACACACAGTTTCAACAGTTTTGCAGGTTTATTATCTTCATTTGCACTACTTCAACTGTATACTATGACCAGAGCTTTGTAAACATTAAACAGACTGTTAAATCTACAATAGCCCCAATGAGCCAACCTTTTCACACAGCACAACAAGCAAAATAATTTTAACTTCTAAATACTCTGAAAGTGCTGGCTCAAAACTCTCATAATCCTCTTCCAAAACATAATCGCCGTGAGGCCTTCAGTTGTGTTTTAATTCAAGGCTAGTATCTTCTCCAGCTCTTGTCTTTACCTTTGACTGTTTGTAGTCTCCATAGCAACCCCGCTCTAGTATTTCAATGGTGTGTCATTAAGAGCCAGGTGAATGCACATACATGCGATCTATTCAGTAAGCACAGTGTGTTCTGAGGGGCCAGGGATTCCTGGGCCTGGTTTGTTAGACACAGCTACAGTCAGTATGTACCTCACAAGAGCAGCACAGGATAAATGGTCCCAGCCCGGGTGGAGGATAGAGAACAAGTACACAAACAAGGTGCTGTTAGGAAACTGGGCAGAGGAGCGGCAGCAGGTAAGCACTGTAGTTTATTCAAATGGCATTGCATTTGAATAAACTCTAGATCAAGGTTTATGCTCATTTTGAAAAGTTATATTTTACACTCAAAAGAGACATATATGCAACTTTTAACCATGAAGCCCCCTTATCATTAGTTTAATCAGAATTGTATATGGGGTATATCAATTCTGCATTTTTAACAGAGAGTTAATGGTTCTTACTATTACTAAGCTTTTTTTTTTTGGCTGAATATTTTGGTTTACTATAAACAACATGTAAAATATTGATCTCAGAAAAAGTGTAACATCAAGGTCAGACATTTTGGAATATCAAAATGTGTTAAATTATCCTCCTTTAGATCGGAGGCTCTTTTGTATAATTGCCAAATGCATAACCTGTATTTCTTTTATATCACTTTATCTTTGGACATTTAAAAAATAGTCTAATACTGACCACCAATACCTCAAAACAACTGCTAACGAACCACAACTGTTAAACACAAATCTTAAACACTTTTAGAGATGTCTACTTAACTCACCACGACCACCACCACGAAGCCTATTAGGAGAAGTCATCCGTTGTATTTATTTGGATTATTTTTCAAACTCAAAGTGCATTTGAATGATATGATATGCAAATATAGACATTTCTGTGTAGAGAACCAAAAAAGTAGCAGCCTTGGTTGTTTTCAGCAGCTCAGTTGGCATTCAAATACTATACCAAAGTGATTAGTGGGGCTGGGTTGCGCCGCATCAGCAGTGCCTCCTGGTGGGAGCGGCTGGAGGCGCACACTAATTGCATTGACGCTAACCCAGCCACGGGCCACCGCCTCAGGATCACGCAGCAGAAACGAATCCAGAAATACACCCGTGTTTACCGATGGTGAAGTCTGAGCTTTGCTGATCCTTGTATGCCGTGTTTTGATTTGAATGTTTAGGCTGTGTTTATTTTGTCCATCATAGTTCAAACGGGAACCACGCTTAACAACGGCCCCCTGCAGCACCAGCCGAGCAGACTACACACCGCATTGGGATGTCAAGCCAGACAGCTTTGAGAGACGATCTGGCCTACAAAGAACTGAGGTCAACCCTTTAACTGCGCATCATTATGCAATTTAAACCAATAGAAAGCTGTCACAACCTTGGAAGTCAACGCTTTGCATAATATTGAATAAAAGGTTCATATTGGCTGGTTGGACTCAAGTCAAGAAAAAAAAAATCACCTCTCCCACTAAGTATTTTACGGTGTAGTTAGAGCAATTTGCTGATGTAACTTTGTCTGATTATTAGTTGTGAAAGAGGATACAGCTTTCATATCTTAATCCTGTAGGGGGCAGCGCACACAGACTAACTTACTCTGTCACTACCACTGTGTTATCTTCCAGGGGCTGCCGGCCAAGCTGCTTTTTGCCCAGCAGGGTTCACCATCCTCTCATGGCTTGGTCACTCACTATGAGGAGAGCTACGGAAGAAAACGCACTAATGCCCTGCCAACGCTGCAGCCCTGTCATCAAAAGAGCTCAACATGGGCGCTGCACAGGCCAAATACTGGTAATGTCCGTGGCACAGCTCACACAAGAGAGAGAAACATACACATATCTGATATTAGAGCTGACAATTGTGGCAGATCAGAAAAGAATATTGTATTAATACAGAAAGAAGTTAAGCTTTTAATTAGCACAGAGAAATACTTGGAGGTTGAGCTGGATTATTGGAAATTGTGTTCAAGTAAAAGTGCAATTACTTGGCTAAAAATCGACTCAATTGCACATACAAGCACTGCTGCCAAATATGTAGGCAAATTAAAAGTATGAAGTAGTTAGTTCCTTTTTAAACTAGTTAGTTACTTTTTAATGCAAGTTTATTTAGATCACATTTTCATACAAAATTTGATGATGATTGTAATACCAGGGTGGAGAGTGGACCAGCAACACACAGCCACGGCTTTCTTCTTGGGTTTGCAATCGATAAAATGTTTTACAAGGCAGTGTGCAATGGTGTGTTTTCCTAACAAAGGGCTGCTTTTATGAAGGCAATATCAATAATAACACCAAGTACTTTAATTGTGAATTTGGTGTTAGCGGGGCACTGCAAACTGTTACAAATAACTCAAAACCGCAAGTACTATTCTCTACTTGTGACTGCAGTTTACAATGACCCTTTTATTTGTTCTAATGATTCCTTCTCTGTCCACTCTCTCCGCAGCCTTTCCAAACTACTCAAGCTCGCTGCAGTTACAAAGGGCCCATGTTGACAGGGTAGAGTCTCAGGTCCCATGTCTGACTGTGTACAGGTCAGCCTACCAGCGCCACCCTCACAGTGCCTTCTGCCAGAGCCGCTTTGCCAGGGCCTCATACTGGACGTCCAGCTACCTCCACAGAGCCAACCACCTCAACAAAGACTTGGACCTGAGGCAAGCACCACTGAGGCAGGTCCCAGATCAATGCGTGAGGCTCCTTCAATCCGCCCAGCATGCATAGGGTCATCAGTGGAATGTTTGGATAGACTTTCTCTATTCATTAAAGTGGGCGTATTATGAGCTTTTAACTAAGTTGGAGTAATCCTCTGGTGTCCTGCATTCAAGGACTGAGTGCTCCGTTTTCATCTGAACTCTATCTATGTTCTATCACCACCCACTTCTTTACACTTACAATTATTCTATATATTCTCCATGTTATAGAGACTAGAATTGTCATATAGTATTAGAGTTTTGAATACAAAACTATTATTAAGCCATTTTAGAGCAATATTGATGTGTACACTTAACTAAATTTTCAGTAATGATCAGTATTATGTTATAGTTTCATACTACATACCAGTAATACCTCAACAATACATGTACATTTGAATCTAATAAGTAGTTGAGATAATACAATGGAGTGATAAAAAGAAAATCATCAAACATCAACAGTTCAAGTAGTAGCTGAGTGTTTCAGAAGCAGTAACAGGATAGAAAGGAGCAGATTGGTAGATAACAGATAGCTGTAGCAGTAGATCAATATATCTAGACATTACACTGACTTGGATGACACAAACTCCTTCTTATTAAATTATGGATAGGTTAGGACTGCTCATTTGTTCTGGTTGATGATGTGAAAATGCATATGACGCTCTAAATGTTTGTTTTTTTGTTAATATATAAACTACTAATTGTGTAATAGGGCTTGATGTGATGCGCTGTTGCCCTTCAGGTGTGTGTGTGTGTGAGAGGCAGAGCAGAGGTGAGAGCAATAAATTATGTCTGTCTTTACAACAGTTAATTATGTGCCAGTCCAACCCTTTCTCATCACAATGAGCCTTGGACTGCTTGGTTACCCTTGATAGTTTATGAAAAGAAAAAATGTGTTGAAGCCAAAAGTGACCTGAGCTCTGTGAAAATCCTGGAGCGCGCAAGATCCAAGTCAGAGTCTGGAGGGAGCTGTCTGCCTCCCATTCCATTAGGTGTTTAATTACAGGAACCCCAGTGTTTCATTAGGAGGAATCAGAGATGCTTATGTTTGATGGTCAACCATCTGTGAGCGCGGCTCTTGTTTCTGCTTCTCCCCAGAGCAGCTGCCACAGGCTTGTTCTCACCTCCTGTTAGATCCTCACACCACTGTGCTTCTGATTCCTGCCTCACAATACTGCCTTGGTCAGAACAAGTGCAGTTTTCCTTAAGGTGAGATGCATTTGCCTTCCCCTCCACATGATGGTGCTGTAGCAGCATGTCACTCTCTGTCAATGAGCAGCTGAGGGCTTGACAGCTTGAGTTAGTATGTCATGTAAATGCTACAGATGAAACATAACTGATCATTTTTCTGTCAAATTAACAGACACACTGTAAATCAGGTACTAGCCTATTTAAAAAAAAAAAGAATAAGATGAATGATACTTGAGGGAAATATCTTACCAGAGCATTATAATGGTAAGCAACACAAGCAGCAGTACATAGAAGGAACTGGAGTAACAGTAGTGGCAGTATGGTATTTGAAGTAGACCTATTAATATGTCATACAACTAAGACAATAACTTGTGGATATTTATTTATTTATTTTTATTAACATAGGTAAAACATGTCTTTCTGCTTTGATGATTTATGGAAATTGCTATGCTATGTGTCTTTGCTGATTACAACACAAGGGATAAAATGGAAACTGACTGTGCAGGTACAATAAACAAATGCAGATGCAAACGAGATTCAGACACTTCTTGTAAAGCTAAATTTAAGGAAGTGGGTTGAATGTGTCTCATTAAATTCCAACATGTCACATTCATAGACCAACTCTACATAATTGCCTTGCTTTCATAACAGTATTTATTCAACCTGCCATATATTATGATAAATTAGTCACTTATTGAATAAGCTTGACTGGTTTAATTGGAAATCTATGATGTGTATTGCAGAAACATAGGCCTAATACCTACAATGACATAAGAGTAGACAAGCGGAAATGTCATGGACTCATGGAAAACAGGGGTAAAAATAGGAACACATTTGCATCTTTTTTTTTTTCCATTATTGACATGAGTTGAACATTGAAGACAAGAGTACTGCATTGGGTATGTAAAAGAAAAAAAAAAAAACACATTGCCCCTTAATCTTTGACAGTATAGATTTGAATTAGTTTTATTAAAACTGCTTAGTGATGTACAAAATAAAATCTAAACAACATTAATACACCTTTTAACAAAGTGATCATAATAAGAGCTGCAAAAAATATAATGTTTTAGGTCACTTTAGAAACTCATTAACTCATGTTATTATTGCTGAAAGCCCAGTCTTTGTTACACACTGGTCTGGCGAGGCTTCTTATCAGGCAGAGAGAGGACAAATGGGAATAACATGCCCCTAGCAGCAGGGAGCACACTCAGCTCCTCATCTGCAAACCCAGGAAACACCTCGTCAGCATCAAACCTGATAGTGAACTGGCGATTCACACAGTAAACATTCCCATACATCGCAACGCACTGAAAAGCCGGACATCTGAGTATGCGCCTGCTACTGCACTCATACCACAACCTGGCAACAGTGTGATAGCGGTAAACACTGAGCCCTAGCAGTGGATTCACATCAAAACGGTACAAAAACCTCCCCACTGCAACCATATCTGCAGTCCGGTCTTTACTCCCTAACAAACTGGCCCTCCAAGAGTTCGCCTGAGAGTTGTAACGCAGTAGCATGCACCGTAATGTCCCCCCAGATACAAAAATCTCCCCGTCGCATACTGCAACGTGATGGGCAACCGCAAAAGTATCGTTAGGAAGTGGTGCCACGAATGCCCATCTGTCCACGCGTGGGTCGTAGCGTTCCACAGAGGACAGACACTCGCCCCCGATGGCGTATACGCAACCGTCAAGAGCTGCCAGTTTGCACCGTGGCCTAGGTTGGTTCATAGGGCTGATCTCTTTCCAAATGGATGTCAAAGGATTATAGCAAAACACTCTCTTTGATGGAGTCACTTCCCTGCCTGTGCACTGGCATCCCAGCGCTACATAAAGGTAGTTATCCAAGGTACACATAGCGCAAGATTTGGAGAGGACTTCGGGTGGGATCTGGCACAGCTTTTGCCAGGTATCTTTGAAGTCATCGTAGTAGTATATTGCACTGGATGGTTTGGTTTCCTCTGTGTCTTGCACCCAAGCCCGAGGATCTATATCTGCCACCATGACATACGATCTCCCTTTCATTCTCAACTTCCTGATTTGCTCCCTTTCTCCAGCCAATAGCCTTCCGTACAGGTTAGGATCTCTGAGAACTTGTAAATAATTATCTGACATGACACAAAGAGCTGCTTGCTGAAGTAATGTATGCTCTCCTCTTTTGGCCAGTTGCAATATTTCCAAACAGTTGCCTAAATTGATCTTGCTTTTCACACTTTCTAAGTCTGTACAGTCACTTAGCTGAAGCTGTAAAAATAAAGGCTTTACATCTAGCTCTGATTCTTCCATATTTGCTCTTTCCACTGAAGGACAGATCTTAGAGTGAGCTGAGACAGAAGAAGTTTTTGTCGTTGTTGAAGTCAGGGGGAGAATGGCAAGCTCCGATTCCTCTGCGGCACACTGATAACTCTCGTTGCGTTGGAGTGCAGGCCTGGCGGGGGGCCCCTGCGTGAGCTTCCCCAACCGAGTGTAGGGATTCTGATCATAGCTCTGCGTTAAAACCAGATCACGCATAATGATGGTGTTCGTGGAGCCAAGAGATTCACCGTTGCCATGACACGCAACCTCCACTACGGGCTTAGCTTCCCCTGATTCTGTAATGGAACGCGAGGAGGACTCCACGTAGTAATCATATATTTTCCCTCGCACAATCTGATCTCCTGTTCCCTCCGCCAGCACGTTTGCGTCCTCTACTTTGATCTCGGCCTTGGAGAGGAAGCTGCAGTGGGCCCCCTGGCGTTCTAAGTCCTGCCTGAGCTCCCTGCCCACACCCACACTCCCCTCCAGCCGCTGTAGAAAGCACGGGGAGAGGCGCCCTGTTGCATTGGCCATCCCACTCTCTGCTGGATGCGTGTGCTTCAAAGATGCTCCAAATGAAATATTACTGGTGGAGACTGCTAGCTGCCTGTGAAGACTGAGTGTGTCTTCTTTGACAGTGTTGTCACTATGTGCTGGGTTAAATGCATCCTCACGTTTTACAGTATTTCTTGTAAGTTCTTCTGTGCTTTTGCCAGTGAGGCAGTTGTCATTCGCTTTTGAGTTATTGCCCTCATCTTCTGTTTTATTGTTTGATAAGTCCAGCATAACATTAGACTTTTGACAAGCTTCGTTTTTGTTGTTGCATAATTGATTCATCCTCTGTGCTGGGTTAAATGCATCCTCACTTTTTATAGAATCTGTTACAGAGTCTGCTTTGCTTTTGTCCATGAGACATTTGTCACTCTCTTTCAACAGACTGTCTACATCTTCTGGTTCAGTTTTTGTTAAGTCCAGCATCACATTAGAGTTTTCACTAGTTTCATTTTTGTTGCTGTATAATTGCCTTATCCAATGGTTTGGGTCAAATGCATCCTCATCTTTTATAGTCTCTCTTACTGGTTCTTCTTTGTTTTTTTCTGTGAGGCAGCTATCACTTTTTTTCAATTTGCTGTCTACATCTTCAGGTTGAGTTTTTATTAAGTCCAGCATCTCATTGGAGTTTTTGCAAGTTTCCGTTTTGTAGCTGTATAATTGCCTTATCCAGTGTTCTGGGTCAAATGCATCAGTATCTCCCACAGGTTCTTCTTTGCTTTGGTCTGTGAGCGAATCATCACTCTCTTTCAATTGACTATCTACGTCATCTGGTTCATTTTTTGTTAAGTACAACATCGCATTGGAGTTTTCGCAAGTTTCTGTTTTGTAGCTGTATAATTGTCTTATCCAGTGTTCTGGGTCAAATGCATCCTCATCTTTTACACCATCTCTTGCAGGTTCTTTGCTTTTGTCTGGGAGACAGTTGTCATTCTCTTTCAATTGACTGTCTACATGTTTTGGTTCAGTTTTTGTTAAGCCCAGCGTCGCATTGGAGTTTTCACAAGTTTCAGTTTTGTAGCTGCATAATTGCCTTATCCAGTGTTCTGGGTCAAAAGCATCCACATCTTTAACTGTATCTCTTACAGGTTCTTCACTGTTGTCCATGAGATGATTGTCACTCTCTTTTAATGTATTATCCATGTCTTCTGATTCATTTTTTAAGTCCAGCATCGCATCGCACTTCTGACAACTTCCATTTTTGCCGCGTGACCGCCTTATCCGCTTGTCTCTCGCGTTATAAAACTTGTAAGCCCAGGAAACCAGCAGCACCGCAGCCACAGAAAGACTCAGCCTCCACACGAGCTGCATGTCGAACTGGACACCCAACAGGTCCACAATAGGCATGGTCCTCGTAGCCGTGGCAATCGTCTCACGTGTCCTATACTGTAGTTAAATATCAACGTGGCACAGACGACAAAACTTGCTGCTCATAGCGGACACTGGCCCTTATCTGACGTCTGCTCCTCTTTAGACAAGCGCACAGGTGTAAAATGATAGCTCTTTTCGATCTATTTGCATCCCTGGTTTCAAAGAGGTGGAGCACAGGTGACATTCCTGGTATCACAAGTCACACAGATTCATGGATTGGTCAATAATGCAATCATAATATTTGTTAAAGCCGGTTGTTTTTATATTCATTAAGTTTCAAACAAGAACTAAAACAGCATCTTTATTCATGAGGAGGGGTGGTCGCAGTCATATTTCTCTCCTGTCATGGTCCCTTTTTAATATTTACTAAAATATGATGATAGATGGTGGCACACGGCGTAGTTTGGCCAGGCTGGGTACAGGAGCGGCAGGTGGAGAGCCTGGTTTGAATAAGGGGTGTGGAGTTATGATAGGTGACATTTATCAAACACCTAATAACCAGGATACATCTGTTTGCATTGCTACAGTGGAGATCAAAGGTCCTGTCAGAGGCAATGCAGAGGTTTGATACAGCGAAAAGGCTTTTGTAACAGGTAGAAAATGCATTTGTCAATACTGTATGTATCTGCAAAACATGTACAATAATCCCGTGTCAAAGTGAAGGTTTTCATTTGAATTCGAGGGAGCTATGCTGCAGCAAACAACAGCAGCAGCCCTTAAAACGTCACTGTGGTAGTTATTAAAGACTAGATAGTGTGTACAGAGGGTGTGTCAGGTGCACTGCCTGACCAGCTGCAGTCATATGATCTTTCACGGACAACAAGGAAACAGGAGTCAGGGAGCAACGTCGGCTTCTAAATTATTCACACATGCCACATAGAGAAAGCGTCTTTTCCTCGCCATTTCTCAGATCTGCGCCAGAGCACAAACAAAGAAATAAAACAGATGACTAGGTGGAGCTGACATATGGACATGATTCAAAACTCAAAAGGTGAATTATGTTACCCAGCAAACACTGAAACTAGACAAATAATTCATCTGTTATTTAGTGTGACAGTTCTATAGAAACGGTGCTTGATGCTGTACTTTTCTCATCTGTGTGTGCTGTATTGCATTTAAAGGTGCATTGTGTAACTTTTCTGGTGGAAATGATTTTCTTCGTGTAGATGTTTTTGTTTTGGAATGTTTCATATTAAACCTTTCTGTCTTCATGGAGACCAAACCAGATCAAGTTACAGCAGGTCAGATCTGTGGAGGGGCAACCCCGCTCACAATCAGAATGTCAGAATGTTTTTCTAAGTATTTTGTGCTATAAAACCACTTGTAATTGTAAGGTAGCTCTGTGTAATGTCATACTGTGGAACATTCCAGACAGAGCAGTGACATATTCATAGAAACAAGCAGGTGACGGACCCCCATTTAAAAAAGTTACATAGTGCATCTTTAATCATTCACAGGTGTCTTCATTACTTAAAAAAAAAAACTTAAAACATGCATTCTATTTATAGTAAACACGCCTGCCTTTCCTGAGATCTTGAAGAGACTTTTAACTGACTAGCAATGGTCCTGCTGTTCTCCATGGACCAGAAACAAGCAGGTGGTGGACCCTTCACCAGAAAAGTTACATAGTATTGTGTAATAAATAAAAATATATAATGTAAATTTGTGAAATCAGAGGTTTTCAAGAAGATCCCCGGGAACTCGACCATAATGCATCATTCGTAATAGAAAATTATGTGCAGTCACTGTGAAGCAAATCCAATCTTACAATGCATTTTAGGCTGCACAAATCGATGTAAATGCAATGAACTGAAATTAACCAAATTTAATTAACACTATCTGTGAAACATGTAACTATATGACCTTTTTTTCAATGTACTGATAATCATAAACTACCCTTGTGATTGCCTAGGCTTTCCTTGGGGACACTCAGCTACAGCCCAGAATCAATTTGGAATTCTTTTTTTCTGAAATGAGGAGTGGAAATGGACCTGCTCTTCCTTTTTTGATGTGAAAATGGTCATAAAAGCAGAGAGAGCGCAGTGCCTCCTGAATCAATACGAGTATGATAGCTGAGTTATAAACCTCCAGTGGGTGGACAGTGATTGGTCTTCTTTGCTTCTGTAAGGAAAATGTACCGCCATGACCTATTGTTAATCTTATTTGTGCAGTGCATTCTCGTCCTGAATGCTTGAATATGGATTGTATTTTGACAAGGTGAGCGCATATCCCAGACGAACAGGTCGAGTCATCCTATTCAACTAAGCTTCAGAAAGCTCTTCTCTTACCTCCCACCTGCTTCAAACTGTAATCCTTTAATACACGTTGTGTCCTCAGAATAGCTTAAATTGGAATTCTTGTAAAAGTCCAAAAATGCTGGATTACTTTGTATTAAGTAACCTGCCAGTGTGTGTGGCTGAAAAGAAAGTAGAGGGTTAAGAGCGATGTCAAAATCATCTTTTGTGACGTTGGAGCGTGAACAAAATGAAATGCCCAAAACAATGTAATTTATGGAAACAATTCAGCTGCAACACAAATGAAATCTCAGTCCCACAGCAGTGTAAAGTCTTTGAGCAGAGAGGGGAGCAGTGTAGCGGGATTAACAGGAAATTAGATTGTTAAAGGGATTTGGCATTGTTTATAAAAGACTCCATAGTATGCTTCAGTTGTTCAAATACAACATTTACAAAGCATTGACTGTAGTCATTCTTTTAAAAATATAAAACGCCATAAAATGGCCTTGAACTGGGCTGCTGCTATTTCCAAATATATTTACTACAAGAAAACTATTTTTGAAAACATTTTTCACTTTCAACATTTTCTTTCTACTATTGATTTATTTTTGATGGGATTATCAAGGGTAAATGTGTTTTCGTTGGAGTCATATTTTTTAAAACAACTATATCGAGGAATGCGGGCGGGGATAGGGGACAGGTGAAAACATAAGTTTGAGCGATCAACCCTCAAAGGACTATATATAATTAACCAAAATATACTTTGAGCAAGCGACGAGGGAACACCATTATAGTATGGGTAAAAACTAATGAAACGTTGCTTTTGCAAAATATGTCTCTTTTAACTTTCATCCCATTGCTTTGGCATTTGAGGTTATATTAAGTTGTGTAATCAATGATTGTATCATAGCCAAGGGGTCACTTGTTAAAAAAATAAAAGATGGAAAAAAATCCACAATTTGTAACTGGATATTTGGAGTTAAAAGAGATAAATAAAATAAACAACTGCAAGCTGTTAAGAAATTAAAACCAAGTCACATGAACTTTGATAATCTCTCCATTTTTAATACAGGTGAAATGAAACAAATGCAACAACCCTGTTTTACACACGCTGCCTCAGGTGAGCACCTCTCTGGAGATGACGGCCAAATGAGCTGATGGATACTGCAGATGCCGGGGTAGTAGTTACGTATTGTACACAATGTGGGTCACTTAAGATAGTTATGTCACAAGTAAATAGCTGGATTACAGGTCGGTGACTATGAGTTCTCATTCGCAACACGCCAAGAACTGAGAAAGAATGTCACATGCACCAGGACCCCTAAAACAGCAGACATTTTCAGCAATTGGATGTCCTTGAAAATGTATAGCCATATTGAGATAAAGCTCAAATCATAATCATTTTCTGTTCTTGTAGCCATCTTTGAAAACATGGATGAAGTACAAAGAAATGTGACTATCTCAGCACAACCAACCCCTGACCCATATAGCTTCTTTAAGTATTTTCAATATTTACACTGATGTACACAAAATACACTCAAAAAGGATTTTTTTTTCTAGTTTCTCTTTACCTTTTGTACATTCCAGGCCATGAAAACCAAAAGGAAACAAAAATATATTAATAATAAAAAATGCCGGTTTATTCCATTGTGGTGCATCCCAGGGCAGACAGTCAGGTTGTCCAGTCTCAATCACATCACAAATAAATTCCATATTCTTTATTCCATTTAGTGGACAGGAAAAACAAAAAGTAAGGTTGAAGTGGGTGGGGCTTATATAGAGAGCGGCCTAGACCATCATGTTCTGTCATGGTTATAATTTTCAGTACAAAAAACGTTTCCGCTCGACGCATGGGAGAGTTGATGACTGAAGAAGGCTTGCAGGATTGTACAGTTTTTATCGACGTTGAGTAAGAAGTGTGTGTGTGTGTGTGTGTCTGTGTGTGGGGGTGTGTGTGTGTGACGAGCAGACAATGTTCAAGTGGAGGAGATTTCACGTCAGTCCAGCGGTCACTGTGAGGACGAAGGTCATCCACGTAAGTCCAACAACCTCCAAATGACACGCTGCATCTGAAAATAAATAACAGCAAGATATCATTTGTTGAGTGTAAATAAAAGCAGCAATCAAAAGCAAAAGATAAAAACTGAATGATTATTGTAATGTCTCTATTGCAAAGAAACCACTCAAGTGTTGACTGATACAAAACTCCTTTAATTTCCTTTCCTTTTTTCCTCATAAGGGCCAGTATTAAACTTTTTTTTTTTTTTCCCACACCCGGAGAAGGTAGGAGACTGGTTATGTGCAGCCACTCAGACATTGGTGATTCTGTTGGTCTTTGATGAAGGACTTTTTTTTGTGTGTTCTTGAAGCATCAAAAAGACTTGGGAATACGTGATTTAAAGCAATGTACTCAATGTGTGGTTTCTTTTATACAGTATCTCACAAATATTTCTGTCTGAATTAAAGTGAGAGCTGATATACACAAGTCACACATTGTGGATTCTGAATAATCAAACTAATTCATGCAATTTAATCATTACTTTGTGCTGGCAAATTCCAAATTTGGCCAAAAGGAAACATTTTGGTTGTACTTGGTGTTTGACTGAGCATCATGTCAAATGTTACTTCGGCCTAATTTCCCTGGAGTAATCCGGCACAGGTTGGGTCAGGTACAGGCTTGTTGTTTGTTTTAACTTCTGTAATGTAATGGCTTTAAATGACCACAACAAACTGTTATATAAAAGTATTTATAAACTGTTCTCACAATAAACTTTCAGGTCCATTTGGGCCTCATTATGTGATGTCTTGGATATGGCTTGTGTTTATGGCAATGTAAGTAGTAAAATTAATGTTTTGACACAGCGAGAGCTGTACAAGGCAGCTGCTGTTGCTATTAAAGTCTTCCATTGTTACAAGTGTTAGCACATTAACACTGAGAAACTTCAGAAATGAGGAAAACTAATGTTGTGGATGGTCAAAAGAAGAACTTCTGTGAGCCGAGCACTGAGCACTCACATTCTGATAATGCACAGCAGAATTTCTATTGGCTGTATATTTCCATTTTCATTGCCAATATTGTCTTGAACACACAGAGATAATGGAAATGCTTCAGATACATTAGATTGCTTCTCTGAATGAAAAGCCCAGCAATAACTGCCTGTTTACAGGTCTTATGCCACATCATGCAGGCCATGGAAATACAATTGTGACATCTCTAATAATGTCTCCAGTGTGATTTTGATGTACCCATCCTGCAGTTAGAAGCACAACAGTGACTATATATTGCTTCTAAGGGTAACAGACAGACATGTACAACAAGGTCCCTTCTGGGGCCAGGACTCCCCTGAAAAAAGAGATTTGTAATCTTAGTGGAACGATCCTTAAATAAATGAATAATTCCAGAGTTCAAAGAGACTATTACTTACTACTACTTACCTACTTACTTTAAAAAGACTGGCAGAAATGATCATCTATTCTACAGCTCTATCAATCAGATAAATGTGAATTCACAAAGGAAGAGCTACACGCTGTGAGTAACCCTCAAATAGAAACACCCAATAACTTAGAATTGGATATTTTGATTGATATTTCTGACAATATTTACCAAATGTCCAAATTAGCTGCTCATCACATCCTGTAATGGGCTCATTCAGCCATAGAACATTATCTCAGGTCCCTACAGTCTAAAGTATAGAAGCCTGTGCCATCTGCTCACCTTCAGTTCTTGGCGTGCATTTTCCTGTTCTTCTGCCAGGCCTGTTTTTTTTACAGACAACCGGGACTGATTTGAGCAGCAACATGCTCTTTTTTAATAAGAGCAGAGCTGGACTTCAATTACCAGCTAAAAACACAGTGCTTCATTTAGCTCATGATTGGCCTGTTGGTGCTACCGAAGTAGAAGAAGTAATTTTTATTTTTATTATTCTATTTGTTAAAAGGTGCTTTTGACCTGAAGATTTTTTGACAGGATCACCTCCCGATAGGGCCTGAAATAATATCGTCTGTATATAATGTAGAATATAAAGTGGTACAAGCTCCCTCAAGTGCTTTCTGTTAGAGCTAAAGGTCAAGCAAATCAGCCTTTTCAGAAGCAGACCTCAGGCAGGGTCAACGTGTCTCTGTGTAACTAACCATCTTAGATTCAAATCATTGTGTGAATGTTTCCCTTGCTTTGACAAGAGACAAAGTAATAGAACAGTTGAGATTAATTATATTATGGCATAACCAAAGCTATAGGCATTTTCCAACTATAGAAACTAAAGAAAACAATCGTTAATGTTTTGTAACATCTATCCCAGATTATGCTTTGTAAAGTGTGTTTTTTAACCAGGTTGTTTTCCAAGTGTATATAGAATGCATCTGGAAAATACATACAGACGAATGTATTACTATTATTATTATACTTTCTATGGTTTTCTTCCAACATCGCCAACCTTAAATCACACCACTGCAGTGTTACAGATACTGCCTTCACTCAACGTACAAAAATCCCAGCCCATGTCATTCATAAATACTCTGACTTGTCATCTTGGAAAGTGAATTCTGACAAAGATGAATGAACATTACCCTGACCACATATCAGTGTTTCTGTCTGGGTATGGTCTGAATATCTGACAGTGGTCTGGGAGAAACCTGGTGATCTAATAGTATCTAATAGTGAGTGTGCTGACCTCTGGGGCTAGGCTCTACACCTATTTGACTTGCATGTAAAGTCCCTGGCTGACCCGAATCTGTCCTTGCACAGACACACCTGCTCCTGGCTCACCGGCAGATTTGCATATTCAGATTTGCATCCCTAAGATACAACCAGACGGCAAAATGAAGGAGAAAATAAGCACAAATGAAAATGTGGAAAAGCATTTTGAGATAGTGGAACAAAATGAGAGATTTGTTCGGTTCGGCCAGACCTGTAGGTGGAATTAGGAACGGAAGAGAAAATTCAAATTGGGACACGGCCTCTTTATGCAGGGGTGGACAGAAAATAGACTAATCATATCACCATTTCCTGGAGATAGATAACAATTTCGATTTATCACAATTCATGTAAACTTTGTATTTTTAAATTGCTTTTAAAGAAATAAATAAGGTGTTCAAACTTCATTGTGATTGGCTAAATCCAGCTGTCACTCCCTCAGAGCCTTACCTCTAGAAGAAATGGGCGGGGAAAAGTGCAATTCCATATGATAATACTACTAACAACAGAAACTACCACGAAACTGTGCTTAATTAAGTGAAATAAAATGGTTACTATGTACTAGTTGAGGGCTAGATTGGCTATTGTCTACTGCCCTGTTGGATTGTGTTAAAAGGAGTTTTGCTTAAAGCTTTGTCTACCATCTGCTTACAAGCTGTTCTCACTTTGCACACGGTAAATGTTCCTCACACATACTGTACATGAGCTGGAGTCATTCTACCTTTTAAAAGTGTTCAGGAAATCAACATTAGCCAGTCATTACACTATACGGCATGTAAGTGTTTATTGATCCTTGCAAGGTTTAGTGTCATACGCAATTATGCTGCCGACTCCATGGCTTAATAAAATTAGAGTAGTAATAAATCCAATATTTGGCCTGAATGCTCCATTTTTAGACTATCGTTAGATAATGACAACAACATTAACCTCAAATAACTATTAAGGCAGAAAAAATACTGCGCAATGTGAAATGTTTAGTTTAATATTGCCATTTTAATCAGTGTTGTTGTTGTTGTTGCGCAACTTGTTGTGTAAGTATCAGGAAATGTATAATGTAAGTTATACTGCACTGTCTCATGTACATTCAGTGTTGGGAAGGTGACTTTTAAAATGTATTCCCCTACAGATTACAGATTACATATCCCAAAATGTAGTTTGTAACGTAATCCATTAAATTACTTAAAGTGAGTAACGTAATCTGAATACTTTGGATTACTTGATTTGCTGTAGAGAAGCAAAGACAAGGATATCGTAACATAAGATGTTTTGTCTGCTAAAAGAAAATAAAAAGCCCAGACTTTAATGAACCAAATTAAAAATATTATTGATAGAAGAAGAGGAGACACGTCCACACAGGCAGGATTTAGTCCTGGTTTAGTCCTGGTTTAGACCTGGTTTAGTCCTGGTTTAGTCCTGGTTTAGTCCTGGTTTAGTCCTGGTTTAGACCTGGTTTAGACCTGGTTTAGTCCTGGTTTAGTCCTGGTTTAGACCTGGTTTAGAGTCCTGGTTTAGTCCTGGTTTAGACCTGGTTTAGACCTGGTTTAGTCCTGGTTTAGTCCTGGTTTAGACCTGGTTTAGACCTGGTTTAGAGTCCTGGTTTAGTCCTGGTTTAGTCCTGGTTTAGTCCTGGTTTAGTCCTGGTTTAGTCCTGGTTTAGACCTGGTTTAGTCCTGGTTTAGAGTCCTGGTTTAGTCCTGGTTTAGTCCTGGTTTTAGTCCTGGGTTAGCCCAAAATGTGAAAACAGCTAAATACCGCCGTGTAATCCATTTATTCCAACAAAGTAACTGTAATCCAATTACCTCTCATTGAAACAGTAACTGTAACTGAATACAGTTACTCATAATTTGTACTCTGATTACGTAACGTACGTAGGTACATGTAATCTGTTACTCCCCAACACTGTGTACATTTGTACATTTGTTTAAGTGTTTAATTCATAGTGAGGAGAAAATTCAGTTTGTCGACTGGACAAAAGTGAGTTTGGTTGAAGATGTTTGTTAGTTCATCCAAGCTGCTTCTTCAGTTCTGGTCAGACGCTGGTGGACACTTCCTTATATCTGCAGGGAGGAGCTAACTACACTGAAACTAACACACCTACTTGTTTACAGTTTCTGTTTGTTAATTGGGCCTATTGACCTGTACAGGGTGTGGGGTTTAATTAGCAGAACAATTCATGTTCATAATGGAGCTTCCACACCTCTGGACCTGGAATTCATAGTTATTATTGCAAACTTTGACAGAAATTACATTCCATGCTCTTGATGATGCAACCTTCTATTTTATTAGTGGAAATATATACCGGTATATATTTTCATATCATCTTAAAATACACCTACTGTCACTTTGCCTCTACCCTGGAACTACTACTAAATACACAGATACTAAAAAAGAAAGTAGCTTGGACTAGCCTAAAAATGGTGTATTGACATGAGAGGAAAAAAATCTAAGAAATGTGGCACGTGGAAGGGGAGCTGTGCTTGCTCTCTCACACATGTTATGATAATCTGCTGTACTGCAAATGAGCACACACCAGACACAATCATCTGAGGTCAAGGCTAAAGTGACAGGCCTGCTAAGTGATGCAGCGGGAAAATGGTAAAAATGCACAACAAGATCAACACTGCCTGACTGCATGTTCTGAGCAGTGGTGAGCAAAAACTCTTCATAAACAGATTATGTAATGTATTAATGTGACAGTTTTCATGTTCTTCTAATTATTACTTGGTTTGGTGGGATAGTAACTGTGGGAAACATTTATCGCAGTTTTACAGATTTAACATTGTATTAAAATGAGTAGAAGTACTGTTATTTATTTGTGTCAGTCTAATCATAACTATTGTGCAGTTTAGATGTTGTGTTTTTATGTTGTGGCTATGGTTGCTAGGCAGTAGTTATGAAAATACTTCTATATATGTCATATCTGCTGCTTGAGCCCAACCAGGAAGTACATTCTGAACTTCACAAAAAAATAAAATAAAATAAAATAAACAACCTATGATGATTTTTGGTTATATGTTAAATAGAATGAAGTTAACTCTGTTTTAAGGAAATGAGTATTCAAACCTGTGAATGTGAATACACTTTAAATGGTGATTGAGGTATACTTACTGTTGGGATTCTGTGTGTTCTTCATCATGCTTGGATTTTCTGCAAAAGATAAACAAACAAAACAAAAACAAAAAAACTATTATATTCATAACAACAACAATATTAATAGTAATAGTAAACAACAAGCTCAAAAAGGTTAATACAACACAACCATTATGTGAATGTATGCATTAAAATACTGGACTAACTTATGATATTTTTTCAAGTCATTTTTTAGTACTCTAGATTCCCTATCTCAGTCCTTCACACAGTATTCTACTACTACTTTACCTGAGCTAGGTCTGAAGAATTTTGAAAAGAATATCTTTGTTATGTTTCTGTGAACAGTAGACATTTCTTGAAGTTTTATCCTTTGAGAGGAAACTGACATTTTAACAAATAATACAAGAATGTCATGTAATTCAGAACATGTTTGAAGCTACAAATTATATGATTGACAGATTTATGAAATAAAAGACCATAAAAAGGTCATGTTAAAACCATTAGAAATGCATAAATTAAATTGGAACACTGTGCACAGAAACTGAACAACCAACAAGAGTGAGTCCATTGGCTTGAGTCCAAAAGTCCAACTGAGGTTTGAGAGAAATGAACTCACCAGGAGGCAAAGAAGGCAAGCGAGGCTTGCTGAGTATTAGTCCTTTTTGTAAACATATAATTTGTAATGAACTTTTGGAAGTACTCCAAAGCAGACTGGAATCAACTACTACTGCATAAGTGGAAAGATGCAACACAAGTGTATTTTTGCTTAAAATATAAATAACTAACAAAACATTCCCGTCATTAGAATGAACTCAAGAAATGAACTGCATCTAAAATGACAATAAAGTATTACAGTGTTCCATCTTGTAGTGGGTATCCTTGTACATATAACATATATTTATTACATTGTAATGTGTGAGTCACTATGTTCAAGTAATTTCCCTTGTGGAGCATTGAACTTTGTCTATAAGTCTGTTTCTCCAGCCAATACCAGTGTGCAGTGGGTGTAATGAATGGATAATTCTCATATAAATACTACGGCATAGTACCATATCGAGAGGTTTTGTTGCTCTATGCTGTACAGTTAGAAAATATAAACCCCAACAGCATCATTTTGTATGGTTACTTTAAAGTGCTGAAAAGGCAAACATCATTCTCCCAACAGAATAGAAGATTTAAAGATGTCAGAAGTTTGTGTAGTAGTACTACTTAAACAAGCACTCCTCCTGGAAATAAACAATTCTGTACACAAGGATTCAGCTTTCAACATTAAAAAAGGCAAGTCCATCATCACACCATCATCACCAGTGTTGTATATGATAATGTCCTATTGAACAAGCACCAGCTGATTCCTCTTTGAAAGAAACCAGACTGATTTCCTGGAGACAGAATAGTTTCCTGGCCTGTACATTTGCATATGAATTCATATTTGGTGTTTATGCATATGTAGCAGTTTGGCATGGCTGGCCACTCAGTGCTGACTCACTCCACAGTAATCTGAGGGTATTATCACAGAGGGTGGCTAAAAATGCACATCATCAAGACATTTCTGCTGGAGCCTCTCCTCAGCTCACCATCATTACACTCTATTATTCCTGCTGATATATGTTGAAGACTGTGCCAAGCCCCCAAATACTTCCAGCTCATCAACCCCCAGCCGAGAGGAGTGTCTGATCGCGCGGCCACGGGGGACTCTGCCAAGGTCGCTTAATCACCATTTACTTGTCCTAAGTGTGAGTGAAGCTGATCCACACAGAGCACAGCACACTGATCAGCTGCACCGCCACGGAGACCATGACACCTAAGGGTGCACCAGGGTGTTAAATAGACATTAGTGCTCTTCCCAGCGAAACGCCTCCCAAGGTAACGCCTCTCCAAAGTGGTACTTTCCCTTTAAAATGGCTTATAGCTTCACTCTGGACCAGCCAAATGATTTGAACATTTGCTCTTATGTCACGCAGGAGTAATGGAAGTGGAAGGCTGCTGACTGAGCTGGCTTTATTTTCTTATGCACCTGTTGTGTTTTTTCAATGCCATCCATACTCGAGTTCTATATTTTAGGGGCCTGCTGTCTTTGAGAGAAACTACTGGCCATAGCTATCCAATCCAATCCATGGGTTTCAGAAAGATGAAAAATAAGGACAGTTGCCATAGAAACTAATGATTTAAAACAGATTTTGAATAGGAAAAAGTCCAAAAGTTGTATGCAGCAGGAAGGTGAAGTCCACAGATATTCAGTTTGTTTCAAGGCCAGAGTCATTACATTTCATATACCAATACTAACTGAACATCAGTGTCCAGTGAAAGGTGGAACACTCAAATATTATCCAGAGTTAATGAGGAGCTTATCATTCTAACACTGCATATACTTACAATTAATAATAAGGGGCCTTAGTGTCAAACAGATTTTTCGGAGAGAACATGCAAACTAATCATAAAAAGGCCCTGAGCGTTGAGGTCTTCTTGCTGTGAGGCAGGAGAGCTAGCCACTCACCCACTGTACCACTACGGCAGTGATTGAAGATTGAAATTGATGCACATGTATCTTTCAATATTTTTGCTCATAATATCCTGTTTTTGCCGTTTAAAGCATTTTAGCATCAAATCTCTTTCCATCTCCGTGATGTCCAGATGTCAGTGCATATCATACCTGGGTCTGGCCACTGAACAAAGGCAGCAGTGTTCACCACGTGTTGGCTTTGATTCCATAATGGCACTTTGATGCCACTGCCGGTGTGTTGGAAAACGGGCCATTGATCAAACATTCACTAAAGCCCATTCATGACAGTGTTCTCGTCACTAAGTGCAGCTTCAGAGTGTGTTGTCAAGACTATTAGGGAATAGGGGCACAATATCTTATTCATCACACTTAGTGGCATGAATGTTTCAAACAGATAATTGGCCACATAAAGGCCACACTATTATATAGATAAAGAAGTATCATAATTGATTGTTTTATGACACTTAAATGCATGATGCTAAAAAGTGTATGTAATTATTCTTCATATTCATATTAATTGTATCTTTAAATAATGAATCTGCTTCTTTTTAGTAGAAAGAAATAAAAGACTATTAGAACTATTTTCAAATTTCTCACCACCCTAGTGTGTACTTGAGAGAGTGATATGAACTTACACCATTTTAATATGAAACCTAGCGGAGAACAATTATTGAGGCGAACAAGGCACAGTGAGTAAAAGATACATGTATGTATGTATGTATGTATGTATGTATGTATGTATGTATGTATGTATGTATGTATGCATGTATGTATGTATGTATGTATGTATGTATGTATGTATGTATGTATGTATGTATGCATGCATGCATGTATGTATGCATGTATGTATGTATGTATGTGTATGTATGTATGTCATGTATGCATGTATGTATGTATGTATGTATGTATGTATGTATGCATGTATGTATGTATGTATGTATGTATGTATGTATGTATGTATGTATGCATGTATGTATGTATGTATGTAATGTATGTATGTATTGTAATTAATAGTGTACATAGATTCTTTTGTTATTTTTATTAAGATTATGAAAAAATATCATCATGGATCATGGAAACATTTGTACTCCCTGATTTGAAGGATTTTTACCCATTCAAAATAATACTTGTAGTGCTTTGCTATGGTGATGGCCCTCACTGGAAATCCTTGGACTGCAAAATTTGCACCACATACATATTTTATGTGCACTTTCACTGGCTTTGAGAAATTATTCAGCAGTAAATAAGTGTATATTAAAGCCATAGTATGTACAATTTTACAAAAAACAGATTAAAATAAAAGCATGTTTTTTTCTCCAGCTTGCATCTCCACAAAGCTGACACTTTTTTGGTCTGGACGATGGTCTCCTACTTGTTACCATGGATTTTCACCTCCGCCAAGGAGGTTATGTTTTTGCCGGTATTTGTCTGTTAGCAACATAACTCAAAAAGTTATGGACCAATTTTGATGAAATTTTCAGGATTTGTTGGAAATGTGAAAAGGAAGAACTGATTTCATTTTGGGGGTGATCCAGAAGAAATCCTGGATTCTGGATCACTTTGAAATTGTAGTTAACATTGTGGTAAATGGGGCCAAAAATTTTGTTTCTCAATATCTCGGTTAATTATTGACCAAACCCCATGAAATTTGACTCAGGGATGGACAATGGGATCCTCTTTCATATTCCAAAGGCTGATCCGGATCTGATCCAGAAGACTGATTTTATCGCAATTTATATAAAAAATGGGGGTAGTCCTTGGCGGAGGTCTGCGCTCTCTGAGTGCTTTTCTAGTTTATTTATTTTTTTCCTTTGGCTATAATATTCCACAGTATGGTATAAAACCGAAGAAGATTTTTTTTAATTTTTTTTTAACTTTCTATATCCATGGAATTATGCAGGTGATTTGCTACCTCCAAAAAGTTACATACTGTACCTTTAAAAGTATAAGTTTGATAAAACAATAAAAGTGGAATAAAGTTCCAGATTGGGGCATGACACTTCCCCACTCCCCTCATATAAAAAACTAATGCTACATATACAGAAATGTGTATTAACTTGTATTGTCCCTGTTCAAATAAACTCATAACTGAAAACTAATACAAGCATTTTAAAAGCATTTTTATATTGTTAAATAATTTGACAACTACTGTGGATTTTGATATAGTACTGACCCTGTACGGTTGTTATTTTCCCTGCAAGCAAAATAGCTCCACAGATAGTGCAGCCACAAGAATTATTGCATCATTGACAAAATAGTTGTAAATATTATTGCGACATTAACAATACTGTCACATTTTCCAACCTTGTGGTGTAGTGCATGTCTTACCGAACACTATGAGGCGTGTGTGTGTGTCCGTGGAGCCCAGTGGGTTTTGTGCCGTGCATCGGTACATGGAGCCGTTGAGTTCGGCTGGTACTCTTTCCAGAATGAGCTCCCTCCCCTCCCTCTCTGTGCTGCCGTCCAAAAGTCGACCCCCCACCCTCGTCCAGGTGAAGAGGGGCTCCGGAAACACCTCATTCTACCAGAGCAGAGGGAGAGACGAGACAAAACAGTTGAGATTAGTCTGGGGGTCACAACCAAGAGATTTAGAGCAAACCATGGACATGAATAATGCATGACTCCAATTTTCCCTTAATGCAACTGCGAGTTAACAACATGCATTAATAATCAACACTTCACTTTACAACTGTTTCCCTGCTCAGCTCCAGAGCGCCCTTCACACCAATTTTAAAATTTAAAGTACGGCCCACCATCGCTGCCTCTCCAAAGGTTGACACGTGCCCGAATAATACAGGAACACGGGGATCTCTTGTGCGAGCGAGGATTGGAGTTCTCCATCCTCAGTCCTCCTCTATAATCCATGGCATATTGGAATAAAAACCCTGAGAATTCATTAGAGTTCATTATACCAATGAATCTTGTGTGATGAGACTAGGAATCAACCTTTATTCATAAAACCATTTAGTTATTACTTTGTCTTTATTTACTCTCTTTATTTCATTTCATTTGAACATTTGTTTAACATTTTAAATCAAATATTTAATGAATAAAAGAGATTACTACTCAATAAAAAGGATTACTATTCAAACTTATGTAGAATGCGAGTTAAAATTTGATGTAGTAAGTTTATAAAGGCCAGTTCCTTTCACAGAGAACCACAGCTGAAGTAAATATAAATATTTTTTATATAAGAAAGCTTTGACCTAAGGGAATAGAAAATATAGAACTCAACAGCATGAACACTTTGTACTGGACAATAAATCAATACAATAGAGAAAGGTGGAGGCTCAAAGTAAAAGGATAAATTCTGATATATAGAGCCAACTATACGACACTGTTAACTTTAGCCAAAACTTGAGCCTGTATAAGACTGAGAAAAGAACTGAACACATTTGCCAAATCTTAAAAGCCTTATAAGCACTGAGATCACTGCCTATCAGATGTCAACAAGCCTCTCACTGGACTCAAAGAGCAGATTTACTGTTACTGGAGTGAATTTGGAGCAACTGTTTGGCTGGTGCTCAAGTTCAAATGGCTTCACTTCCTCATACAGAAGCATAGGCCAGCCCGGAGCATGTTTGTTGGCTCAAAGGAATAAATTGTACCGTCTGACCTTTCAAAAACAGTTAATTAGAATGGACTTGTTGAAAACCTGGCTAAAGGGCTCTGTAATAATTTGAAATATCAAAACATATCATGGGAGTGTTTTCACATAAGAGAATGATAGTATTTCAATTCGATTAGCAAAGGTCATTGGGAGATAATTTTATCACAGTGTAGAAAAGAATAAAAATACTGTACTAAATGTACTGTATGGTTGTGCTGGGGTGCTAAGTGTCTATATTGTTTGACAAACAACCTATTGTGTATATCTTAGTAGTTGTAGAGTTGGTTTACTGACAGATTTTGATCTAGTTTAGAAATTTGTCCCCGATTGGTCTTAATTTTGATGTGGTCTATGTTCAACAGTTATGTGCCCACAAACATGCACATTCAAATTACAAAAGAGAAATGCGTTGTAAAGTAAATGTTGAATGTTTTAATAAACACATCTAAAGCATGAAAAGAAAAGCAAACAAAACAAAAACTGAAATAATCTATCGTAGTGGAGTGACTAAACCGGGCATTGTTCTGTGGCACATGTGGGTTAGCGCCTCCTCTTCACCACAATGTTTCCAGGTGTCAGTTCTCCACATGTCACTTCTGTCATAGAGATGAGGCCCTTCACTCTGTCACTCTGTCTCTTCAAACAGTTTGTAGTCACAAAAAGACTGCCTCCTTGATTCCTTGATGTTCTCTGGATATTTTTTGGAATACTGAAATTTGATGATTTTGACTTCGAAAATTAAAATTCTTCAAAGGCCATAGTCAAAAATGGAGGAAAATGTTCAAATCAGCTTTGTTGCTTGGGAACCAGAATACACACTTTTCCAATATTTTACAAAGATGTGAGACTGGTCACAGATGGGTGTGATTGAAGAGTGGATTAGCCAATCAGGGATTTGTCTGAATTTGGCTGGAGGCACGATGGAGGTAGACCAGACTTATATCCCGCTGTATAAAAAAATACATTGAGATATATTCTGGGCTTGCCAGACAATCAACATTGTGCAGCTCTTAGGAGAATATAATAAAAAAAAAGTTCATAAAATGCACTATAAATCAAAAGAAAAAATGGACTTTGCTAGTCCTTTGCATGCTTACCCCTACCTGGAATCCTTGGACAGTGATCCTGACTGTGTCCCCTACTTTGGCTCTGGTGGGGGTCATCAGGAGTTTGGGGCCCTTCGGAGCAGCTGAAAGGAGAGAGAAGACATAAAGGTCATCGGGCTGATCGTGGGGAGGACATCTCAGCCGACACCTGTTTTGTCTGAGCAGGGAGACAAATACAATTTCCTGTCAATTAAGGCCACGGGGCAAAAGGCACGGCCCCTGCAGGTTCCCTTATCCGGCAGCCAGTGCTGGATTTATTCCCCCTTGGAGAGAGGGAAAAAGTAAATTGGGTAGATAGTCATTACTGCAGGAGAATGGGAGTGCGCCGGGTGCTGTGTGGAGCTGCTGAGATAAGGGGCACTTGCAGAGCTAATTCCCTTGTCTTGGTGTGGACAGAGGTCTCCAGATGGCTTTCATGTGGACCCTTTAAAACAATGGCGCGCAGGCCAGCAGCAGGAGTTAAGAGAGGACAATATCTGCTTCTCGATGCATGCAACAAACTTTACAATAGCTCTGAGATATTGGGAGTATATGATTTATTACCAATCGGTAGGTGAACAAATAATGAAAAGGAAAATATAAACACAATAATTGATGTTTTTTTTTTTTTTTTTTACTTACAGTACCAACATGTAACTTTTTAGCAAAACAATAGACTAAAATAAAAGCACATTTGTTGATGCTTTGCTTTTCACTGAAAAAAGTTGCATCCTTATGGTGTGTGGGTTAGAATCTCCACAAACCTGACTCTTACTTGGCCTGGAGGAGGGCCTCCTTATCTCCATAGAAATGTTGTTCTTTTTAGTATAATCTTTCACAGTATGGCAAAACAAACAAGCAAACAAAAAATAAATCTGTAATAATGGTAATAATAATAATAATGCATCAGTTTTATATAGTGCTTTTCTGGACACTCAAAGGGGCTTTACAGAGCATTATTCATTCACTCCACAACCGGTGATGGTAAACTACTATTGTAGCCACAGCTGCCCTGATGGAAGCGCTGTTGCCAATCTGCGCTGTCGGCCCCTCCAACCACCACCATCACTCACACACACACCAATCTCATACTAGGCAATGTGGGTGAAGTGCCTTGCCTAAGGACAGAACAACAGTTTTTGTGACTGGCGCCCCCCCTGCACCTGATTTTCCCAGAGGTCTCCCATTCACGTACTAACCAGGCCTTGCTTAGCTTCTAAGACCTGACGGGATCAGGCTTTGACGAGTTGATATGGCACCTCTCCATGTAGATTGTTCTGTGCAAGTATGGTTTGAACTTGAGTCATACAGGTGACGTGCCACCTTTTCAAAGTTACGCTGTGTTACTTTCAATCAAGATTTAGTGAACTCAAACAAATATGAACAACAAAACTAGTAAAATATATATATATATATATATATATAATATATATATATATATATATATATATATATATATATATATATATATATATATATATATATATATATATATATATATATATATATAATATAATATAATACATTTAAAAATGGTTGTCTTTTTGATCAGCTGATTGTAATTTTCTGATTATGATTTTCTGATTGTGATTTAATTAAGTTTAATTAATAATCAAGCAACCCTATTAATGAGAGGTCCAAATGTTCTGTGTGATTGAGTGATTGAGGGACATTCTTTTGCACATTCTCACAAGTAATTATCAGCATATACATCTCTCATTTTGCTGGTATAGATACAGTTATGAAGAATGGTGATGATAAGACATTTTGCACTGCACTCTGTGTGAGACAGTCTCCAAGAAGATAAGTTTAGTACATCCTATAAATAAGCCCAGCAAGAGTCCACCTCTGGACAAATCTGCCTGAATTTGTTCGGCTTAAACTCTCGATACAAATCACAGATACAAATGGCTGTTTGGCGCTTGTTTTCATTGACGGGTTAAAGTAAAGGAGGAATAAATAAACAGACAAATGAGCTCGATTTTAGCTATTAATCCAGCCACAATCTGTCGACGCCAGCTAATGGAGCACAGCCTTTTCCCAGGCAACCATTGACTACAAGTCTGCCTCCAACTAATGGATAAAGAGTTACACGCCACACCTGTAAATAACAGAGCAAACAGACCACATTTTTACTCCAGCACACATGAGCAATGGAATGTTCTAAAGGTCCTTTTATCGAATACATTTAGTGAGCAAAAGTAAGCACAAGTGTACACTAATTAGGACTGCAACTATTAATCTGTGTATAATAGTGATCAGTTGACTATTAAAATCATCGGCCTTAATAAATTCATATGTCAAAAAAGCTTAATAATGTATATTATTCAGATAAATAATAGACTTTATTTGTCGATATCCTCTATTAAGAAGCCATTTTCAACCATGTATTAGTTAAAATGTATTAAACAATTTAGCAACCATTGTTTGACTTTCCTGTTCTATTCATCAAAAAAGTCATTACCGACTACTAAAATAACAGTTAGGCGCAGCCTTATTACCAGTTCTCATTTCACAGCGCTAAAACCTTATAGTACATGTCCATTGCATCATGCATCATGTTGATTACATCTCCCAAACCCAGGGGTAGTATTTAGTTTCATTCATGCATGTTTGTGTAATCATTTATTCAGCCTCTTGAGAGCTAAAATGCTGTTTCAACACTATTCCTCACACACACTTGAAACCAAGAGCTCTGCACATTTTTAATGTCCACACACCTTCGCTGAACTTATCCTGATCTATCAGTACTTTGCTTTCACTGGGAGCATTTTGTTTTCCTGTCATGCTGTGTTGCTAAGCCATTTCACCATGCTCTATTCCCTACTGATGCCAACAGGGGGTGAAAGACACCCACTACATACAAATACAATCTTTTAAATTATAAAAGTGGAACTATCCATTACAACCTGTAAACAGCCACAAGTAACCATCCATACAAAACCTTAAATGATCTCTCCATTTGGATTTGATGATGATGTCTATTAGAAATAGGCTATATATAGGCTGGATATTTGAGCCCAGCATAATCTGAGCAGTTTAGACAGCATACCTAAATAGTCCATCTCATGCTGTGAATGGAAGACATTTCACAGTACAGTACTGGCAAGGAAGTACGAAGCAGTACACCACCCACACGTTAGTGAGGGGTATTTTTAATGCTGGTGCCATGGTGCTTCATAATGCTAGCAGGACATATGGCTGGAGAAGATGATGGCTGATTCTGGGAATTGCTCCAACACGGACAGTTGGTGACCTACGTCATTACTGTTCACCAGGCCACAAGCAGTGACCACTGTGGCATAGGCTGTGACCATGGTGAGGACCCAAGTGTGTAGCTGTTGGTCTAGCATTTATACTGTAATGTCATATGCAAGGAAGAATGCTATTGTGGAATTTCAGGCCACTAAACTTTACACAAATTGCAAAGGATGAAACTATATATCTGCAACAGTGTACATTGAATTACCAAGAAAATGTAGGTAATGTATGGTCTTCTTAGGTATTACTATGAAATTAAGAAAAATGACAGATGTGCCCTGTTATGCAAGAGTATATATCTTGCATTTGGCAAAATTACATTTTAGTTGCCTCGATCCATCTTGTTATTAGGCAATGAGTGTGCTATAAAGTGAAGTACTACCAAATTACAAAATACTTTCTGCAAAGTTGTCTTAGTTTTTGATTTGATAGATTATTTATTCAGGAAATTGTATGTCAAAGGTTGTATGGTTTTAGTTTACGTAACGTGGTTTAGCAAAGTATACACTGCACATCTGAGTAAACATCTGCTCGTAAGTACATACTGACGTAAACTTGCCTTGCTCCTTCCTACGCCTGGAAATATTAGTACTTTTATTTGAAGGCATTTCATAAACTAAAAAATGAGCGTGTAAACTTAACAGTGTTACTTGCAAACATGAAGTGGTCTTTTTACGTGCTGTGTTTATTTGGCCACAAACACTTAATTCTGGAGGCCCTCTTCTCCTCATGAATAGTGCATGTACAAGTGTAACCCAGTGCCTCTCAGTGCATCAGGTGTGCTCGCCACATGAGCCAACAGATCAACAGGTCTGCCCAGATGCACAGCACACTCGGCCAGTTAGAGGAACCTGTCACATTAGCTGCGTGACTGGCTTTGTTACAGGAGGAAAGCAGTGGAGCCTTACGAGCATGTTTAAAAGGGGCCAGACCCACTGCTGGAGTAGGCTACTGTCATGAAGCCAACACCGCATAATGTCCTCCAGGATCTGAATCAACATGCAAGACTTAGTGACCTCGAGCAAAGACAGAACAGAATACCAGAGCGCTCCTATGTCTCTGGGCCTTTCGGTGTTTGCATAATGAAGCTATTTACATTGGACGAGCAGCCAGGTACCATGCAGTGACATTTATAGGTCCATACTCCAGTCTGCAAAATGGGCTTCCAGAGCACCTGGTCTATGATGATCATGCTTTGGCAAAGGAACTTATTGGAGATGTAAAATTGTCTCAGTGCAGCTGTATAGTTTCAGTGTTGGGAAGGTGACTTTTAAAATGTATTCCCCTACAGATTACAGATTACACATACCAAAATGTAGTTTGTAACGGAATCCATTAAATTACTTAAAGTGAGTAACGTAATCTGAATACTTTGGATTACTTGATATTGTCATGCTTTTTAGTTTAGTTCTGGTTTTAGTCCTGGTTTAGTCCTAGTTTAGTTTTGGTTTTAGTCCTAGTTTAGTTTTGGTTTTAGTCCTGCTTTAGTTCTAGTTTAGTCCCAGTTTAGTTCTGGTTTTAGTCCTGGTTTTAGTCCTAGTTTAGTTCTGGTTTAGTTCTGGTTTAGTTCTAGTTTAGTCCTGGTTTAGTCGTAGTTTATTTCTAATTTAGTCCCAGTTTAGTTCTGGTTTTAGTCCTGGTTTTAGTCCTAGTTTAGTTCTGGTTTATTTCTAGTTTAGTCCTGGTTTAGTCCTGGTTTATTTCTAGTTTAGTCCTAGTTTAGTTCTGGTTTAGTCCTAGTTTAGTTTTGGTTTTAGTCCTGGTTTAGTCCTAATTTAGTCCCAGTTTAGTTCTGGTTTTAGTCCTGGTTTTAGTCCTAGTTTAGTCCTAGTTTAGCTCTGGT